CAGGGCACTACAGATGGTTACGCCCACTCTTATTACATTAATACCACGGCCGCAGCGACCACCAGACGCCGACCGTACGATAGCCCTGCTTCATATGGTCATCTCCTTCATTGGCGAAACAAGAGAACAATAAGATGAAAAATTTCCCCGCCAATGCTCCACGGAGGCGTGGACCAGCAGTAGAAGAGACGAGGAAAACACACCTTGGCATTGGCTGTCTCGTCCACCAGATCTGCGTCACGCCTTGCTCATGTCTCAGCCCAGTTGCCGTTTTTGTCTACCGTCACCGCCGTCATACAAGGCTTGAATGTGCCGTTGTTCATTCTTGAGCACACCAATAAGAAACGCGATTTGGGGGCCAAGCACACAAAGTAAGCCCCGCATGGGTTTACCACGAGGCGCACCACACAGGCTCCCATTCGCTAGGGGCGCCTCTCGACAAAGCTGTGGTCCAGGTCGTTGGGTAGTGAGGCATGGGCGGCGCTGAGCCTCTCTCCCCATGATAATAGCGCCCGAGTAATGCAAGCATCCACACACGGGGTAAATGGGGGAATCAAAAAGGCCGTGTAGATCTAGCAAGGCAGGAAGGAGAATCCGCCTCGCCCAGTCTTTGAAACAAGGTATCTTGGCATTGCGCCCCCCTGCCGCGCGTGGGTCAACTTTATTTTCTCTAACAAGTTTGGAGATGCTCAGCAACAAGGCTCCTGCTACTTGAATGGTAATGAATGGTAATGAATGGCATTACGGCATAGGTCCTTGCGGCTATATAATACCAAACTTTATTAGTGTCCCATGCAATTCAAGCATTGGCGTCACCCGTCTCCACGTTGGCGCCAGAGGCAAGGGACCATGTGCGGTGGCGTCCCCTCCCATGCACTTGTGGCATCTGCACTTTGAGCGTCCTTCTCGAGCCAAATTGCATGCCGACAGTACGATGGCTTATTCAGACTAGTTTGAGGTGTCGCCTTGTCTCTACGTACGCCACCACGTTATCAGACGACCCAGCTTCGGTGTCACGGCGTTTGTAATATACTTGACGTTTGATAGTCCTTACTCGTTCTTTCCATATTGGGCAGCTGTACTTTAGGCTTCCTCTGGCATTACATGCGCGTGTGGCGTCTGGCCAAACTAGCTACAAGCTCACAGCTACCCATCTTTTACTGCCGCCAAGAGCCCAAGACGGAACATTTCAACGGACAATGTGTCAGAGCGCGGGAGCTGACGAGTCCCAGCGCACTGGCACCCAAGCGCATCTTTGCCGCAAACTGTCAAGTTTTGACCATTTACGCCGGGCGCTCCAGCACGCTCGGCATCCTTCCGAGAGAAAAAAAAAAGCACAGATAAGAGCTTTTGAGTGGACAAACGGGCCGGGTACGTGGCCGGGGGGAGGGGGGGTTGATTTCGTTGGCAATATCCATACATACTTGTCATTAGCTGGTGTTGCAAGGCGAACGCAATAAAGGGACTCCGTAGCTAGTTACTGAACTCATACTACGCTTTGCTGCTTGCCTGCCTTGGTCTAGGCGTGGCGCGGCTCGCGTACAAGTCTGAGACATCGGAGGAAAATGGACGCTACACACACCTTTTCCTTCGGTTATTAGGCAACGTCTGTGAACGGCGCTTGTTGTGGACCAGTACAGACCCGAGTTGCGGGCCGAACTTTGAACACAAAAAAGTTGGCCGCTCCAAGCTTGGTCTTGGGATCGCGACCCGGCTGAGGAGGACGAACTAACTAGTCAGTCTAGTTTATAGCAGAGTAGCATCAGCTACGCTCTTTGCCTTCTGATCTGGTTGTTGGGGACGGCTAGTTCCGCGCAGTATCCCGACAACGTAACGTAGCCCAGATGAAGAGACTCAAGGGGTAAAAGAAAGAATCGGTGGAGAAACAACAAGGAAAGAAGACTGCCATCTGGCCATTACTCGTGGCAGCGGCTCCTCCTTCCCCTCATCCCCCTCATCCTCCTCATCCTCCTCGTGCTCGCGCGCTGTATATCTGTTACACGTCACCTGAAGTTGCGAGAAAAAACAAGAGACACTTATGATGATCGACGTGCACTTTGTACTAGAAAACGCCAAATGGACCAATATCCACCTGCCAGAATCCCCTTTGCCCTTTCGTTCTGGCCTGGGATCACCCTTCACCCCCCACCCCGACCCTTGACAAACGCCCAATCGTGCCATCGTAAGATGAAGGTGCTGGTAGCCCGAAGCCATCAGGCGTACGGCGGCCAGCTACCATAGTTTGGGGCGGGGGGCGTTTTTTTTTTTTGAGTTGCGAAGTTGCTGCGCTTGCCGGCTGCTGGGACGGCAACTGGGTTAGGGGCAAAGAGTGTTTTGATAGAAAATGGTCTTGGCAAAACTGACAGATGCGCAGAATCCCCGAAGCTTAATCACATTTCCCTCTCAAAGCACTTTCTTAATAGGGACTAAGCGAGAGCGAGAGAAAAAACCCCGCATATCCTGCGATACTGGGGTCGTCCGTCTCAGGTGAGAACTGTTGCTGCCTGCCCTCAAGAGCAAGGTCGTTGGCACGCTTTGGGTGGTTCTCCAGATTCTGGCGCAATTACGCTACTGCTTTTACTCCATTGCGGCATCAACAACTTATAACTTGTCATATTTCGGCTTGAGAAGCGCCGAAAAACGTCGCAATCAATCTCACGACCCGCAGAACAAGGCTCACAACACCATCCAATCTCCCTCAGCTTTCGCCACCAGTAGTCAGGTGTGTTTACCCCAGGCGTTCCTCGTACATACAAGTGATAGAATTGCGACTACATTCCCGCAGTCTCGGCTATAGGGTGAGTAGTATCACGTTCGCTCTATCACAGAGATGGGTTTCGTCGTGGCTCTGCGCCTGACACAGCTGAACTCCGCTGCTCTGCTCGACCCGTTCATACCGCCCTTCTTCTCCATACCACAAGGGATAAGGAGGAGTGAGCATATCCCACCAGCCACAGACAGAAGCAGGGGAGCCAGGCGAGGATTCAAACACGTAGATGCAGAACGACGGGTATTGAGCACCACATACGCCGCCGTGCCCTCTCTGCGGCACACGGGCCAAAGAGGTTGTTTGTTGCATAGACTGACGCTGGGGCAGTAGTGTGTCTTGTTTAGGACAGATTGCCACGTTCTAGATATCACACGGGATCTGACACATTGTCATACGTAGCAAGCGCTTTGTAACATGTCAAATGTCATCATAGTTGAAATTGGAAGGCTGAATACGAGGCCTTGTCCTTCTTGGCTTGGTCATTGGTCGAAATGTACGTTGGAATGGCAGAGTCTCGGCAAAGGCTTGGCCCACCGCGTCTGGATTATTGGCTATGACGATTCACAAGTATCACGAGAATGAAAGATTCAGGACTGTAGTTTTCATTCCCACTGCAGAGTTGGGAACGGCAACTTTCAAACGGGCTATCGGTTGACGACAGCCCCCCATATATCATCCTGACGAGATTTGACGAGGTCTTCGAGTACATATTCTATGACGTGTCCGCGCTGGCGGGATTATTCAATACTCTTACCGCATGCCACAGATACGCTGAGAGTGATCGGGTATCACCTGTACTCTTTTGATATTCATGATTGCATTTTCAGCTTTACCCTCTGCAGATCATGCCAAATGTTGACACTGCTGCTCGGTCTGTGCAGGACGATGTGAAGAGCGGTGGCCAAGCTCTACCAGCTCTCCTGCCACTGCAACAAGCAAGCCCACACTATTAACCCATTCTCAGAGGCAGAGAGTCACCCAAAATAAGTTCTTGTGTTGCCCTCCCAGACAGGACGCATGACGTCTGGGCCATGTGGGCAACGACTGCCGTGCAACAGTAACCGCTACACTGACTGGATCAATAGAACATCCATGACAACGCACAGCAGACCGATTCCGTGCTTGTATAACCCTCTCATGCAAGGCTCTTTAATACCAGGTGACCGGAACTCATCCTTGCTCGAAAGATGCGGTCAGTCCATCTCAGTAGCGAGAATTTTCGTATCCATGCCTGCAAGTTGCTTCTCTTGTGCTACTCCGTACACGTACTCCTGAGACGACATTTCGCAGGGCAAGAAGAGAGCGGCCGCATCATTTATTTGCCCACTCCCCCCTGCACTGTGACACAGAAGTACCATGCACCTTATTCGATGCACCCGTCTCAATCTTGGCAACAAGTCACCAGCAGGGCCTGCGGACCGGCCACCCCTTTCATCATCACGCACTTCTCTGCAGACTGTACCAGCCACACCAAGGCCGCGTTGTCATATTGTCGGCATGAGCCTAAAACATGCCAACGCGACATGCCATTTTACCACGAGCCAATGGAACTAGAGCAGACAAGAAAAGGGGCAGAGTAACCAAAAGAAAAAAAGAATAAACAAAAAAAGGGTGCGGTCGCACAAAAACCTTGCTGCTGCTCCCTCTTCCCGCCGGCACCCCATGGATCCGACAACGCAGGGCGGCAACAAGGGGAAAAGGGGCCGGCCGCCGAAAACAGCTGTCAACAACACGCCCACGATTTTCGGCGTGGAACGTTTGCGGCACCCGCCTTGCTGATACAACATTACACTTGGGGGGGGGGTTCCTGGTGGCCACACGACCTGGAGCGCGCCTGTGCCCGCCTCCCCTTGTTCACCGTGGTCACGAAAAAATAAGCCACTTCGCGACAATTGCCGGATTCGATCTCGTGTTTCGAGGTGGTGCGTCCTGGGGCGAGATTCTTTGCCCTACGTCGATTCAATGTGGGTGACGGACCCAGATCCGACTGCGGAGTTGGTCCGTTGTCGGTTTCTGACCGAGTGAATTGACAATTACCTGTACTACATGATATCTGTTTCGTAGAGTCGCCTTATGGAAAATGAAGAGAAGGAGGAGAGAAAAATAAATATATAATAAAAGTACCAAAAGACGGCCCATCTATAGTAAAACACGCGAGAGAACATAGATAATTCGGAAATGCTAGAAAAGACTCACACCAATATTAGCCTGGTTAACTGTAAAATATATTTCAAGAACGCCTGAAGACCTTCGTCAGCAGCCCGCTGCCTCCGCTCCGGCCTCGGCGCGTCATATCCTCCTGCGGACTTCCCGTCTCAGACGACGGACGCCCAGTGTGTCCCGGCGGCGGCCGGACCTCGCTCGCTCTGGGTACCTCCACATACCCGTCCATCTCCTCCGGCGCGGCGCGATACACCTTGCCGGCGTAGTCATCAGCGTGCCTCTTGGACGAGCCGGCGGCGACCTCCGGGTAGGTTCGCGGTGGCGGTGCCGAATCTTGCGCCAGCGCGCCTCGCAGCTTGCCCAGGCCGCGGTCTAGATGTTCCACCAGTTCGGCGGCGGCCCCGGAGGCGCGCGCCTCATGGTCGGCGTGGAGGTCTCGCGCTTTTCGGTACAAGTCGTTGTGTTGCTCTCGAAACTCGGCTTCCAGCTCGCGCTCCTGGCTCTCGAGGCCCGCTGCTCGTTCGGCCAGCTGCTCCGGTGTGGACGGGGCGCGCTGTTGCCCGTCTTCTGCCCGGCGCGCCTCTAGCCATTGCGCGTATTTCTGTTTGCTCTCGACCTCGGCAGAGCCAGACGGTACCATGTCGTGCCACTGGTTCGACCACGCTCTCGCTTCTGGCGTCGCCTTGGAACCAACGACGAACTTGTCAAAGGAGACGCTGAACTCACGGAAGTTGCCTCTGAGTATGAAACAGTCTCCGACCCATCCGCTCGATCGTAGCTTTTCCAGGAGAATGCCTGCAGTGGGACACCCCGAGGGAGAATCGACACCTTTTGAGTAGAAGAGGATGCATTTGCAGTCCATCCGTGCGGCAAACGCCTTTCGACTCTCCTCGTCGTTGAAGCATCGCTCTATAATATCGAGGGGTGCTATCTGTAGGAATGATTGCGGAGCACGCAGGTTCAATGCTCCATGTAAATGTGATCTGTTGAAATCGTTTGTCGAACGAAGATCAAATGGTAGAATCTGCCCAGGCAAGGAGAGCTCCAGCAACTCAGAGAGAGCCGTAGGAAGGATCATGCGCGGCCCATCATTGCCTCCGCGCGTTGTGTCCTTGAGCTTCATGCTAGCGAACCGGGTTGATACTATATCCCTCTCGCGGCGGTGATGGAACCAAATTTCCAGATGCCATAATTCGATGCCCAAGTTAGACGCCAGCATCGCGCTCTGCGCGTCATTGGGTAAAGGTTCGTGCTGGTAGTATTCCTCCAACCTTTTCTCGACATGGCTTGCAAAGCGCTTTGGTTCGGGGACATTTTCGCCGAAAACAGTACGACGCATTGCTTGTTGCTGGTTGAGGATAATCTGTCTTGATATCCCGGAGCTTTCGGGTGGAGAACCAGACGATGACCGACGCTGTAGAGTTTGGAGGGAGAGGCTGGAATCCACTTGTCGAAGTGGCTGGATATTCAAACCGCCCGGGGAAGACAGAATGGGTGATCCTGGCGCACTGAAATTCGCCGGATAGCTGACAGGTTGTTCACTCCTCGTCATTGTCCCGGCTGAGCCGTGAGCAAGACCAGACACTTCTCGAGGTCGTCGATCGTATACATGGTCTGCGGCAGCAAACGTAGTTCCAGACACGCCAGAGACAAAGGACTCCGTATCGTGTCTACCAGTGTGGGACTGGCGGACTTGTGTCGCCGCTCTCACTGTTGGTGGCTGCTGGGCATTTCTTGGAATGGCGAGATTGTTGGATCGGATGAAGGCGACGAATGATGTCGCATGGTCCTCGGGTAGCATGTCCCAAATCATGACGGGCATAGAGACAAGAAGGAGAGTCGAGTGACTCTTGAAGACTCCTTGCACTTTGACATGCTTGGCAAGCGAGGGAAAGGCGCTCAACCACTGCTCCCAAGCATTGATATCGAGCCTCTGGTCGTCTTCCAGCGCAAGCGAGATCATCACGTGCGGAGTATCCTCGTTCGGGTCGCTGGATACAGGCGTTCTGGGAATTGGGTTTGGGCATGGCCCCCGAGTGATGCCCATCGGATCAGCACCGGAGCCGTGGCTCGGTCGTGGCGGAGACGGGGGCAATGGTGGCGACGGGGGCATCTTCTGCTGTCTGGCGTTGCAAAGCTCAATGCTGGGAGCTTTGTGGTTTGCCGTCATCATGAAGTGAACCGGAGTCGATCGCGCTTCAAATAGTTTGCCGTTGATGGTGATGGGGCGAGGATGCTTGAGACGAGCCAGCACCTCGGCGTGCAACATGGCGGCGGAAAATGTTCGCGACCTCCACTCTTGCAGGACTTCTATGAGAGCATTGGTGAAAGAATAGCGACCCGGATCGGGAGCAATAGCGTCCCAACTGGACGCAGATATCGTCTCGGTAATACTATTTCCGGTTGAAAAGGTCGCGCTCGCTGCGCCGGCGCAGCAGTCGAGGAGGATGAGCACATCTGATTTCGAGCGCTCGAGGAGCGTTTGGATAGCAGACCATCTGATATAGTTAGCAGCAACTCAACAAAACTGGTATGAATGAGCCTTACTGTAACCAAGGAGAGCTTGGCTCTCGTGTTCTGTATGCATGTCAGTCTCAGGGCTCGGGTAGACAAGCCAGGTCGACACGTACGCGCACCAGGTGCTTTGACGCGACTCGTCAATTCTGGCATGACCGCCATAGTATACTAGGAATAACGTATCGGGCGACTCGTGCTCTTTGATCAGCTGGCCAACCCGCATCATCAACTCAAGATGCGAGTTTTCCGAAGGAATGGCAAAGATGTCCGTGTCAAACGCATAGTCTTCGCTCAGACACTTTTGCAAGTCCTCCAACTCTGGCAGCACAAAGAGGTCATCTGAACCCCAGTGAAGAAGGAGGGCTTCCACCTTTTTGTAGCGCTGTGTTGAGCGGCCCCGGTTAGGAAAGGCACGCGCCGCGGACTAGATGTGGCTATTAGTAAAAGGTTAACCATCCTTTGCCGCCAGGGTGTCTACTTGCATCTTCCAGTCGTTTGGCGAACTGACTGATGTGCTTCACGTGGAAGCTTGTACGGCTGATATCATGAGTGGCTGATCTGGGTTGCATTGTGCCGTTGCTAAAGTTGACCTATACCGCGGGGGGAGGGCAGATGAGAGGTATTTAGCCAAAAGTCGGGCCGTAAAGCAAAAAAGGGAGACAATATGCAATGTTGCATTTTCTAGACATACAGACGGGTCGCCATTCCGTGCGCCTGGCCCCCCCACGGGCTGGCGGGCACGGATCGTGACATAGGGTTGGTCGTCGGTCATTGTCAAGGACGAGTCGGACATCGGCAGCGTGGTGGTGACTGTGATTGGAGGGCCATCAGGCCATGGATCAGTTTCGCAGGGGAATTTTGTCACCAACAGAAACCAATGAGTGAAGCGAGATTGAAATGAGCACGAGTAATATCTCGGGAGAAAAATAAACGAGGACAACGGTGACTGCAGAGTGACGAAACAGCCTCTTCACGAGGCGGACTGGCCATGCCCTCAACATCTCGGTCCCCAAAGAGGCTTAGCGCCTTTTGCCGTCGGTCTGTCCTTTGGCACACCGGCTGTGGGTGTCTGGATTTGATCAGCGACGATCTTCTGAACTCTTCTGAAAGTCCTAGTTATCTGGTGGGCGGTCTAAATAGAGATCTCGTCAGGACGATGATTCTATTGGATACAGCATACGTTGGCCGCGTTGTGGGCTGTCGCATCTACGTGGCGCACGCTGATCCTAGGAATATGCCCTCTTGCGCTCTCGATATGTAAACATCATCGCCACTCCCGGACCCCTTTCACGAGCCGCCAACGATAAAACAAAGAGAGACAGCAATTACGAGCAAAACACACCGAAATGAGTCGCCTTTTCGCACAGATGTCTTGGCAAGTCAGATGCCTGCGCCAAACTCAGGTCCAGGGTAAGCAGCAGGTCGCGTGTGGAACCCGCCCGTGCCAGCTCTCGTGCAACTACGATCTTGACACCCTCGTCCTTCTTCCACAGCACGACAGCCGAGTTCAGCCCATCATAACTACTAGCTCCTATGTTTGCTACCCATGCATGAATAAAACTGCAGCCGGCCATTGACAAGCTGAAAACGCGACGCCATGATAAAGGAGCGCATCACTTTCGTCCACCCGCCAGGGGGTGAGCTTGATCCCAGGGAGTTTGATGTGCAACCTACCGGACTGCTTGGCCCGACCATCAATACCATGCGTGAAGATAGATTCACCATTCCAATAGATGAAATCCCGGCCAATTTTGCATCCGTTTTGCGCGACTTCAGCTCTCTGCAGGTCCGATGGGCCAGCCCCCAACAGCAAAACACGATTAGCCCGTTTAGCTCCCGCATATCGCCCGGGCTTCATGTCTCTTATTATGCGCCAGCGAAACAAAGAGACGTAGACCCGTAAGTTGGGAGTGCAACGAGAAGTCTCGAAATCCTAACATGGTGTAGATCCAAACTGTGCACTCTGCTACAGGCCTTTGGACCGGTTGGATGCGAGTCAAGAGAGGTAAGCTCGTGCACGTCAATGCCAAGATGGTCGCTTATTCCCAGGGCAGGCCTTTACGGAAATTGATCACAAATCGAACGACTCCATAACAGGTCGGTACTTTTACCAGCACGTCGAGGCCTTGGAAGATTTCATGGCCTACTTTTCAACCACCTTTTGCACTGAGCTTGATCCAGAATGCCAAGCAAGAGTCAGAGGACTGAATGTTGCTGCTTCTCTGGACATAACATATGATGCGGAGCCGCAAACAGTCAAGATGACGGCATTCTGGCCGCTACGAAGCCAAAATCTGGTAGCGATAGCCGCTGACAGCCGACGCACTGAAGTTGGCATCATGGGCTTAGACGAGCCGGTCAACATGAAACCGCATGAACTTGGTGTCTCTGGCACGTTAACCGTTCTTAAAGAGCAAACGAAGCCGGGCCCGGTATTCTTTGCTTTCCCAGCGCGTCACAGAGCCAGTCCTGCGTCATTCTCGTCGCGGTTCGCAACGCCCACTGGCCTGCATCCGACGATGCAGCTTGGCTTCGACTCCAACAAGCCGCCAGTTGATGGGGGCAGCTGCAAAATGTATGCATATCTGACGCTGCCGAGGACGATATTTGCAGACAGGTATCAGCTCGCCGATGATCTGTTCCTGGCCTCCAAGAACCTGACGGCGGCTCCGTACACAAGCCTTCCCGTCGACCTTGAAGCCCCAGAATACACCACCTCAGTCTGGGGCTCGACGGTCTTGCTAGAGCTTGCACCTCCTGCGATGCGCGCGTATCCTGACGCATGGACGGCAGAAGTACCCCTCCATCTCCGTTATCTCAGACCTTCTGAGACGGGCATTGAGGACATTGAGGTTCCATTCCCGGCAGTCTTTTGGGCGTGCGGGCCTGTACAATCGGTAGATTTTACCAAAAGTCCCTTTGATCGGATCCATCTTGGATACGACGATCTGTTTGAAGATGGAACAGTATTTTGGCATGTCTATCCACAAGGGCGCGGGGGCAGCCGCGTCATGGAGAGCCGGCTTATGAGTAGTCTCTCCGTCCCGGTGCTTAATACCAGCGCGTCGGACTGGGTTGGAATCGGAACCACGGCTGCCATATCAATCGGGTTTGCGTGGATTCTATGGAAGCTAGTCGGTGCTTTTCTGCAATCCGGCTATAAGAGCAATGCATCAAATAGGCCTGCCGGTGGCAGCATCGCGGACCAGGACGGCAAAAAGAAGAAGAAGCTATGAAGCCGCGCGGCGACGGCAAGGGCCTGAGAATCAAAGTGTTGAGCACCCTGGCCAAAATTTCGGTGTTAGCCAAGGCAGGCACAGACTTTTGCCCCCACAGAATAAAAGAAGAGAATCCATCGCCAGATGACAACGCGCGTACCATGATCAGATAACAGAGTCAAATCACGCAGGAAGTCAAACTAGCGCGCAGCACAGAAGATGCGACCAGGAGGGGGGAATTGTTGTCGCCAGAAAACGTGACATCAGTGATTCTTGTTATACCTATTTTCTACCCAGCAGCCAGCTTCAACTCTCAAGTTACAACTTTTAGAACCTGTCTAAATTCTGTCCCTGTATGCAAGTAGAAAACAAACGCCAACTCAACCGCTAATGTTCAAAGAAGTTTCATAAAGTAAATTCGGATCAATCATCGTCACATCTGAATTCAGCATCTGCTGCTCCCCATACGGCGGCACCTGCATCTTCTGTCCACCATCGGCCCCTTCAGCACCATCCAACGAAGACAAGAAATTCTGCAAACTACACAGCTGCGGCGCTGCCCGACTATCCGCCATGCTCTCTAGAGAACTCAACAACGGCAGGGGATCGTGAAGTGGCGCCGAGACGACAGTCGAACTTGTGCTGGCATGGTTCCTCGTGCTCATAATAGGTGACAGCATGTGGCGGTCGGTTGCGACGCCAAAGACGACAGCGATGCTTCGCTTTGTCTGGTGACAGCTCGTGCGGATGATCCGGCGTTGCCGAATTGGAGCTGGCCTAGCTCCCAGAGGCGGGAGGCAATGTCGCGCAGCCTCGTGTTGTGGGAGGGCCATATGTCGCTGTTCATGGAATTGGATGTACCGATGGCGAGCATGGCTCTGCAACAGGCATCGAGAGCGAGGGTAAATACCATGGGGCCAAGGGGATGTATTTGTGATGATAAATATCAAAATTGAGAATTTCAGAAATTTCGAACCTGTTGTCTCCGGCGTCAGCTCTCATTTGCATTTCAGCTTCTTTCTAAACGTAGCGCTAGCCTCACTTACACGTCCCTTCACTACCACCTGCTCAGTTGCAGGTTAAAGCCTTTGCTTGCCGACAAAACCCGTCCCTTCTACAATGACATCCACACGAAAACTCCTCATCATGCAGTTCGGAGACATCGACGTCCTCCAAATCGTCGATGCAACCTGTCCGCCACCCCTACACGCCATGTCCAGATCCGCACGGAACTCTCAGGCTTCACTGGTGGCGACATCAGCATGCGAAAGGGGATATACCCGGATCAAGTTGCTGCACCACTGACACCAGGCTACTGTCTGGTGGGGACGGTCAGCAAGCTCGGAGATTTCTGTAAAGAGCTGCAGGTTGGCGACACTGTTGCCGTGCTGACCAAGTACAATGTGCAGGCTGAGTATGTGAATCAGCCGGAGGAGTATTGTGTCAAGATCCTTGGGGGTCTGGATCATCGGCAAGTTACTGGGCTGATATGTGACTGGAGCACTGCCTATGCAATGGTGAAGGAGGTGGCCAATGTCGCCGAGCGCCAGCGTGTTTTCATCCACGGCATGAGTGGTGGTGTTGGCACGGGGGTGATGATTCTTGCCAAGTTGGCGGGTGCTGAGGTGTATGGAACTGCGAGTCTGCGCAATAATCATCTCATTCGGTCGTATGGAGCGCATTCGTTTGTCTACCCGGACAAGAAGTGGATGGATGCCATGAAGGGTTGGGGTGGTGCTCATGCTGTTTTTGACGCGCTGGATTTCGAAAGCTTTGATGAGAGCTATGGTATTCTGTGTCGGACCAGTCGTTGAGAACTCGATGAATGTGGTATACCAGTGCCCCCAACTAGGTTAGCTACTACCGTGATAAAGTCGAATTTTCTGGCCTGCCCCTTGCCTCCACCAACATCAACAAGGAGAGCTCGCTCAGGCTCAATTTCACTTTTACCAATCCGACTAAAATCATACATGCCCGTGATTGGCATCGTTTCCACAGCTGCCGCCATTGCGCGATTAAACTCTTCATTTCGCTCCGGCCTGCCCTCCAGGATCTCCAGGATCTGATACAGCGTCTTGTCAGGTTGTCCTGCAGCATACCCAAACGGCACGCGATGCGACGACACTGGCTCCTTCAGACCATTTTCAGCAAAATACTCGGGCCATTCGGCAGTAGGTACCAGAAAGAAGTCATAGATGTGTCTGTACAGCCGCTTAATTCTTGGCTCGGCGAGCTGTCGGGATGCGTCGTTATGAGCCAGTTGTCCGGGGTGGGAGATGTGAGCCCTCCGACAACGGCGAGGAACTTTGCGAATCGCTCAATGAGACTGATGTCGACGGCTTGTTTGGCATAATATTAATTTATATTTAGACTTAATTAAGTCTTTTAGCCCTTTTTCTAGCTTTAAATAATATATCTTTTTAAATTTCTTTTATTTTTATTTTTATTTTTATTTTTATAGTTTTATTTAAATTAAATATAATTAATTAGATAAAAATTATTATATATATTATCTTTATAAAAAAGATTTAAATTTATAAAATAGTTAAATTAGTTTTAAACATATATAAGCTTTAAAATAAACTAAAATAATTTTATTAATAGTTAAGATTAGTTTCTTTAGAAGCTAACTTATTTATCTATATACTATTAACCCTTTCTTGCTTTCTAGCTAATTATAGGTTACTAGCTGATTGTGCGCCGAGGTCCCCACTTAAATCACAACACTGATGTGTAGCACCGACAGCATTTTGAACACATGTTGTGGCCGGGCTCTCACACCAAAACCTGAATTGGACGAAACAGCCAAGCACAGGCGCCATCAGTCTTTTTTCTGTTATTTACCCAAAATATCATCGATAGCCGAAACCTTCTTCGTCCTTATCACTGCGCCACAACGAGGCCATGCCGTGAACAGAGCCACCGCGGCAGCAGAGACTCGTCCCCCGATGGCCCCCACGCCACCCTCAGCAGATGCAGCGTCGTCAGCTTCACCACACAGCGAAGACCGTACGCGGCGCAACGTGGCCTGCGTCAACTGTCGCAACTCCAAGGTGTGTGATTGAGTTCTCCCAGTAGATGTTTCGCAGAATTCCTGCCTCTTGTTTTTTACGCCAAGCAAGCGGCCCATTTTGGCTCTGCCCAGCGCTGCCAAGGATATTTTTAGACTTACAAGCTGTGTTTTTTTTGTTCTCTTCAGGTCCGCTGTCGCTCCAGCACCGTGCCTGGTCAGCCGTGTCAGAGATGCGCCAAACTGCAGATTTCATGCCTGGTGGATAAGTTTCACAAACGCATAACGAAACGAAGGTACGCGACCACGGAAATCTTTTGTTGCAACTCTTATCCACGAGGCTGACGGGCGGTACGCAGCAAGCTGGAGCAGCTGGAGCAGGAGCTCCGATCCATCAAACAGGTGGTCCATCCGCACGGCACCGACGCCGCCGACTTGAAATGGACGCCGCCCAGCCCGCGAGCCCCGTTTCAGAATGCAACAGAATCCTACAGCCGCTCTTTCGCGCAACCCGTACCGCAAACGCCGACGCCTCTCTCGGAACCATCTGCGGCTGCGGCGCCGCCCTCTGCACGGCTCTCCGAACAGCGTCCCAAGACCGGCCCCACCCAGGCCCGCATGCTTGGCAAGCACAGGGTCTCCGGAGACGATATTGACTGGTACTTTGACAAGTAAGCAGCCCAATTATTGATTGGAGCGCACTGCTTACACGTAGATCTTAGGTTCTTGCAGTGCTTCCACCCGGCATTGCCCATCTTGCGAAAGCGAGATCCGGATGAGTGCTACGAAGCCAGCTCAACGCTGTTCTGGGTCGTCATATACGTAACCTGTCGCCGATACACCACGGACCGTGTGTTTTTCCGCGCGCTGGTCGATTATGTTGAAGAGGATATTTCCAAGACGCTGATAGATCCGGCCATGGGGCTGGAAACCGCTCACGCGGCCCTGTTCCTCTGCGCCTGGCCTCTCCCCACCATACGGCTGTTGACGGATTCCTCCACGACATATATCAGCATTGTCATGACGGGGATCATGATGATTGGAGTACATACTGGACGAGGCAGTCATAAGCAGTTTTGTGTCGGCACACGCAAGACTCGCGTCTTCTCCGACGAGGAAGCTGCGTCGACGTGGATGGCCTGCTGTGTGCTGGCGCAAAAGTAGGACGACAGGCATCGCTTGACAGCATCATTCTTTGCTAACCAATGGCAATTGCAGAATATCGACGACTAGTGGCCATCCGCCACCCTCTATCCAGCACGACGACACGCAATGTCGCGCATCTCTAGACTCGCCATTCTGGACCGATCTAATATCCATGTTCGACCTCTACAGATTCCTAAATCGCTTCCACAGCGCAATGGCGGTGCATGCATCCAGCCGTGGGCAAGCTCCCATCTCTGAAGTCACACGATGGGAGCAAGAGTTTGAAGCGCTGCGGCCTGCAATCTTCCAGTCCAACACCGGTATGCCTGTCCGTTTGACCCCTCCACCAGCAACTCCGAGTAACACCCAATACAGACCTGCTTCGCGTCCTGTCTCTCTCTGCACTTCTCGAGATCCAAACCTTTTACTTCTCCGCCAACCCCGACGCGACAACACACGTGCAGCGCCTCTACTACCTCCGTGCCTTCCGCACGGCGCGCAGCCTCATCAGCACGGTGCTGGATCTCGAGTCGCGTAGCCAGTTCCTCACGCACGCTACCAACCAAATCTTCCGCAGCCTCGTCGACGCCGCTTGCATCGTCACCGCCATCCTGTACTCGACATCGGCGCCGCCCGACGTGGCGCCCAACGACGCCAACCTGCTCGCGCAGCACGCCGCCGCCGCCATCCACCGCTGCTCCGTTGAGGAGGGCGACCTCCCGCACCGCATCGGCGTCATTGTCGAGACCTTTTGGCACGTCCGCCACCTCATCCCGCGCATCGAGACTGGGCCCCGCGCCTGGTCGCACCGCCTCGGCGTTGGCATGTCGTTTTGGTGCCTCGAGCTGTTCAAGCGCGGTCTTTGCGCTGCGCAAAAGAATAGCGAGACGGCGGCCGCGGCGAATAGGGCCAATGACCTCATCCGTATGTTTGAAATACATTTATATCTGGCAGGAACCAAAACACCCTACAGAATGCTAACTATGAGTAGATGGCCACAGGAGCACACGACAGAATCCGGCGCGGTCCACCGAGCCTGCCAGCGAGAATGACGTGCCGTCTTCCACAGGCCCGCAACCTGCGCCCACATCTGTCGGCCAGTCGAGCAACATGCTGCTTCCAATGACAATGAGCGCCGACCCCTTTCAGGAAATCGACTGGTCCATGTTCACAGACGACTTTGGCTGGATCGGCGACGACGGTGTGCTGCTCGGCCTACCATGAAAACGGATGATGAGAAACGACGTATAAACGATACCAGGAGCAGACAGGTAAACACGGTCCATCATTCTTCTTGTAACGGCATATCTGAACACGCGATTTTGGTTTCCCTTCTCTACTAGCGTTAATCTAAGTTCTATACCATGGTTAATGCACACAAATTCACTTTCACGGTTTAGAGTTATTACAATCTAAAAGATATTTCAATTTCAATTTGTTTCTTCATTATGTCATGTATGAGATATACATGTATTCTCTATGCCTATAGAAACAACTGCTTCCGGCTACGCATCATGAGAAATCATCCATGCGTCTAGCAAAAACGCCGCGTAAAAAAACAAATCATTGTAATCGTTTGTCACTGTATGACAAGGTATGCGACCACTTCCGACATCATGAAACCAGATATCAAAGTGGCTTTTTTTTCTGGGATTTTCTGGGGTTTCAACCTTTGTCGTCTCCATCTCCTCTCTAGTCGTAAAAATCCCCATCGTCCATGTCGAGCTCATCGACGGCGTCCTCCTCGTCAACCATCTCCTCATCCTCATCAGGATCACTGTCATGATGGTTCGCGAGAACCACGATCCTACCGTCTTCGAGCTCGACCCGCGCCGTCTCCTTGTCGCGGATATTGTTGCGGAGTATGAGGATGGCGAGCTTGTTAAGGACCTCTTGCTCAATGAGACGCGCGAGCGGGCGGGCACCGTAGGCGGGCGAGTAACCAGCATTGGCGAGGTAGTCCTTGGCCTCGTCCGAGACTTCAATGGTGACATTTCGCCCATTATCGTGCAAGCGCTTCTGAATCTCCATGAGGCGCACGTCGACAATGTTGCGAATCTCCTTGCGGGTGAGGCGGTTGAAGATGACGACCGAGTTGATGCGGTTAAGGAACTCGGGGAGAAAGTAGTTACGCAGCGAACCCATGACCAGCTCCTTGGTGGCAGAGTCTACCTTGCCCTCCTTAGTACCCGGCCGGGTGAGGTACTCGGCGCCCAGGTTGGACGTCATGACGACGATGCAGTTCTTGGCGTCCACCACGCGGCCCTGGCCGTCGGTGATGCGCCCGTCGTCCATGAGCTGCAGCATGACGGTGAGAACCTCCTTGGCCGCCTTTTCCACCTCGTCAAAGAGGAGAATGGAAAAGGGCTTGCGGCGGAGCGCCTCGGTCAGCTGCCCGCCCGCGTCGTGGCCGACGTAGCCGGGCGGCGCGCCAATCATGCGGCTGAGCGCGTGTCGCTCCTGATACTCAGACATGTCGAAGCGGATCATGGCACGGCTGTCGTCAAAGAGGAACTCGGCGAGTGCCTTGGTAAGAAGCGTCTTGCCGGTGCCCGAGGGCCCGCAGAAAAGGAAACTGGGAGGCTGGTTGGGGTTGGAAAGGCCGGAGCGCTGCAGCCGGATGGCGTTGGCAACCGACTTGACGGCTTCCCTTTGGCCAACAACTACCTTGCTCAGCGCCCGTTCCATGTGGATGAGCTTCTCCTTTTCAGACGTGCGCAGTCGGGTCACGGGAATGCCAGTCCAGCGCGCGACAATTTCGTTGATTTGGTCAGCTTCCACTGTGTCGGTGACCATGGAGCCCCCGGCGTCCGTGTTGGATTCGTTGAGAGCGGCGTCGGCGGCGGCCTTCTTAACCTCGAGTCGCTTGATGACGTCCTGTTGATCGGGGATGGCTCCGTACTTGAGATCGGCGGCCTTGGCATGCTCTCCGTTGTTCATAGCATCTTCTAAGCGCTTCTCCAAGTCGTCGAGTTTGACCTTGGCGTTGTGGATGTCCTCGCTCCGCCTGAGTTCGTTTTGATACTTTTCGCGGAGAGGTTCGAGTTCCTCCTCGACATTCTTGGCCTCTTTCCTTGCCTGCATGAGACGACTCTGCGATCCTTCATCGTGCTCCTTCTCAAGAGCGGCGATTTCAATCATGAGCTGGCTGAGCTTGCGTTCGTTGGAGTCAATGATTTCGGGTCGGGATTCGCGTGCGACTTGCACTGCAGCAGCAGCCTCATCGACCAGATCAATGGCCGAATCGGGCAGTCTGCGGTTGGTGAGGTACCTGGCGGCCAAGTTGGCGGCGGCGACCAGCGCATTGTCTTTGATTGTGACGCGGTGGTGACGATCGTATTTCTCCTTGAGACCACGAAGGATGGAAATAGTCTCAGGGATGGTAGGCTCCTTGACAAGAACTTGCTGGAAGCGACGTTCAAAGGCGGCATCCTTTTCAACGTACTTTCGGTACTCGGCAAGGGTGGTAGCACCAATGCAGTGCAACTGACCACGAGCCAACATGGGCTTGAGAAGATTGGCAGCATCCATTCCGCCCTCGCCAGATGAGCCAGCACCCATGAGAAGATGAATTTCGTCAACAAAAAGAACAATCATTTCCTTCGATGACTCGATTTCTTTCAAGACACCCTTCATTCTCTCTTCGAATTCACCACGGAACTTGGAGCCGGCAACGAGCGCTCCAACATCGAGGGAGAGCAGTCTGCAGCTCTTCAAGTTGTCGGGAACGTCGCGAATGACAATTCGCTGGGCCAAGCCTTCTACCACAGTCGTCTTTCCTACACCCGGTTCACCAATAAGGACAGGGTTGTTCTTGGTACGGCGAGACAGGATGCGGATGACTCTGCGAATTTCCTCTTCTCGGCCAATGACCGGATCGACCTTCTTGTCGCGGGCCATTGCCGTCATATCGATGGTAAATTTTGCCAAATTTTCGTTTTCTTGTTCCGTATCGGCAGTTTTGCTGTCGACTCGTTTTGTTCCGCGGATAGCCTGGACGGCGTCTTGGATTAACTTTGGCTTCGGTATATTGGCCTCGCGGAGCGTCGCTTGGATGGTGGGCTCCTCAGAGAGGGCTGTGATGAGGTGGTCAACACCAATGTAGGTGTCTTTCTGGACCTTTTGCAGCTCCATGGCCTTGCGTAAGACAGCATGGAACTGCGGCGAGAGAGAGACCTGCTCTGGGGGTGGATCTTGGCTCGGCAGACGAACCAACGTCTTCTTGAGAGCTCGGTCAAAGAGTTGAGGGTCGCCATGGGCTCTCTCGATAACTTGGCGAAACAATGTCGCGATGGCGCCGGGAGGGGCATTCTGTTGATCCTTGGATTGATCGACGGGGGGTTCGAGTAGTGAGACGGCGAGGTGAACGGGCACCAGTTGTGAGTGTGCGTATTGTTCAGCCAAGGCCATGGCGTCTTCCACGGCCTTTTGTGCGCGGTCTGTGAAGTCCATTCGTGCTGTCATGGTGACGAACGGCTATGTGGTAGCTTTCGTGGGCGCTAGGTTGTGATGAGAAAGAGCTCAGGCCAGTAGACTTTGGTCTATGAAAATTGCTGACACGCAGTGAGCATGTATGTGAGCATGTATGTTTGAGGAGTGTGTGAGTGAAAAAAGAAAAGAGGAAGAAGTTGGGACCTTTGATGGATTTAACGTTGATGGCCTCGGAATCATGGCCTGACCAGTAACCCCTCCAACAGCCTGGAAGTTACCTGGAAGCGTCGAGAAGCGGGTAGCACCAGTGTGATGTCACTGGAAGTTTCCGGTTCTTTAGTGGGGTGGTTGGGCGCTAAAATGCAACGGGTAATGGTATTAACGGGTGTTACTGGTCTGTAGCTACAGCAGGGGTCGCAACTTCACTGGATGATGAGTTAGGTACTTTGACTTTGTACTGCAAAAGTTCCGAAAACTTGTCAGGTAGTCATACTTGCAACCCAGCATTTGGTATATTTCGTAGCAGGGTAGACTTGATTAAACCAAAACATTATTCGATTGTATCCTCCTTTGTGCAAGCTTTCAGTTATTGATCACTTGTAACTTGTCATTGTCCTCCGCTGGCTGCTATCTTATCGTCACCTGATTACATACGCTGGGCTGGGTGCACTGTACCACAGTGTCATGGGTCACATGACAGGTCTGTGCTCTGGACTTTTCTGCCATTTTGCGAGGATCCCTGAGTAGCTGTCGACCGAGTTGATTGAGGGACGCGACTTCAACAATGAACACAACACAAAGGGCCCGCGCGAGCCAATTACCAGACATTGCGCGACTATGCCTGCGTTCAGTGCATGGAGGAAAGAGGCCCCCAAATGCCATGGCCTTTCAGGGGCCTGAGGGCCATGGCGAGAACATTTGGGTGTTTGCCCATCGCAGAACCGACCAAATAATTTACAGCTTCAATGCTACGCTGGAGGTATACACGCACACCTTGCCGCAACGCTGGATGTCACACTCATGCGTTCTTTGTGCCATCGAGGCGTACCGCAACACAACAAGGATGCTAACGCAAGCGCTTGCCATAGGGATCGCACGACATAAAGCAATTGCCCTACAACGGCAAAAAGACGAAACCCGCCAAGCTGCGAAAGGACTATTGGGCGCCGATGGCCAAGATTGCGTTTCCCAAGGGCGCCGGCCGCATTGGCAGCACGGTATTCCAGAAGCTGCGCGAGCTCAAGCACCTGCACGAAACGGCATGGGACGACAGCCTGCTCTACAAAAAGCCGATTGAGTATACCGAAGACGAAAAGAAAGCGGCCGCTAAGCGTGCCGCCGGGAATGAGCCGGAACCTCTTTTTACGCGCAACAAAGCTGAGCGCGGCAAGGCCCTCAACGCACAAAAAGCAAACTCGATCGCAGACATTGCAGCCGTCCTGGGCGGTACTGGGCCTGGCAACAAGGTCGTGGCTGCGGGACCCGGTCCCAAGAAACTCGTGGAGGTTACAGTCAGCTGGGCCAGCATTCTGGATGCAGGGTACGCGAAGAAGTGGACGCATAATGTCACCCACACCGAGTTGGTTGAACCCATTCCGGAGACGGCCCTTCCAGCCGAGGCGGAAGCGGCTGCGTGAACCAACCAGCGCAAGTTTTTGTACCGAGGTAGAGAGCAAGTCAAATCCGATGGACGATTGTACGAATAGATTAGGTGGACCCATTAAGACTCGCACTACGACGTTTTCTGGGACAACTCGAGGCAGGAGTACGAAATACGGCCTGTGGGTAGTAAGATGGACGTCTACGAAGTGACAGGGGTGGGCGGGCATGTACAAAGAATATGGTGCGCAGCTGGGTGGACCAGCGCGCAAAAAAAAACGAAATATTGTAATAATAAGCACAAATCAGTTCCAGAGGAGCATCGGAATCCGAAATATATCCTCCTTTGTCCCATGCATAACCTCCCGCGTAAGCCCGCCCTCTGAAGGGGGCAAAAGTGCAGGGACACTCCCAACTTGTATGTAAATGGGGTGTTGCGAAACGAGGCAAAGGTCAAATCGTTCAAGTCATTAAAGCAAGCCAGGACAGAGCCAAAAAGAAAAAAACGCCACTCTTGTAGTATCGGCTTGCGGCTGCCTAAGCCTTGATGCAGAACTGCTTCAGATACTCGTAGTAAGGAATGTTGTCATTGACAGTTTGGCGGATGATCTTTTGCGCGTCAGGGCCAAACTTCTTGAGCCACTCGGCATCTTCAGAGTCGACTGTTGAGATTTTCTGCAGACAAATAGTTAGAAACAAGACTGCTGCTTCCATGTTCGGAAAGAAGAGCTTACCTGTGCATGGGATCTGCCCTCGAGGCGCGTAGTGCGAAGGCAGTCATCGTGGAAGCCATCAAACTTGGCAAACTTTTCGGTGGCAATCCTGCCGTCCTCGGCCGACCACTCAAGCATGTTGGGGTGGTAGTCGATGCCGGTGCGCTCGCAAAACATGCGAATCGTGCCCTCGGGGTTGTCGAGCAGGTCGTCGGCGTCGAGGACGGTGAGGTGCTCCTTGTCGGTGACGCCGCTCTCGAGCAAAAAGTCAAAGAGGCGGACGAGCTCCTCGTAGCCGGCCTCGCTGGGGAGGAAGTAGGGGAAGCCGTTGCGGTCGCTGAGCGGCGGGAGGCAGCAGCGCCAGTAGGAGGGGATGGCGCGGCGCGGGTGGCGGATGAGAAAGGTGAAGTGGAACTTGCTGAGCACGTTGAGGGGCAGCACAGTCGGGTTGTCGAGCTCGGGACGGGCGCTCACGGAGGGCGCGATGCTGGTGAGGTTGTTCCCGGGCTGCATGAGGTAGTAGGCCATGTCCTTGATGAAGAGGCGTCTTCCCTAGAGAAGAGGTGAGCGCATGTTCCGTGGTCAAGTGGCAGCAACGCGGCCAGACGTGTCAAGGTAGATGGGGGTGGGACGATGAACAAATCACAGCTTCAAAAGATGACGGAGGGGGCAGGTCGATAGTCATGAAGGCGGTTTTGCTAGGGACAAGACGAACCTGAGATTGCATCTGGGCAAAGCTGTCCAACACGGTCTGGTAGGTGTCGGAGCAGGACATGCCCAGGGAGCCGCGGTCGGCGGACGCATCCTTGAAGCGATCGCTCATGAGCTCCGGGCCCAGGTAAAAGGCATCGGCAAAGGGTTCATGCGAGCACTCGAGGATGTCACGACGAGTCATGAAGACCTGTCGAGGGATTGTCAGCCAAGAGTTTGGAGTTTTGTTTGGTCGCGTGTCTCGCGAGGCTCTACGAAGATATCCAAGACATGAAAAACATACCCGTTCGAACGCCGTCGAGCATGCTCGCGGGTGTGTAAGAGTAAAGATGGGTCGGGGCGCCATTATTGGTGATGTTTGTTCGTCGATGTTATCAGCGTTCAAGTTGAAGAAGAAAAGTTTCTCGGGTCGGCAAAGGAGAATCGAGAAACAAAGTAAAGCGGGGGAGAAGGGAAGGGAGAGAAAAGTATCAACAACCCGGGTCGAGGGGAGAAAATAACGGGAGCTTTTATAAAAAGATCGGGACGTCGGCAGTGATGGCTTGGGGACGTCTCAAAGTACCTGATGTCGACGCTGCATGGCCGTGTCTTCGCGTCGTCGGCGCGCCGCTTTTAAGAGTCGGGTGCGTGTGGCTGGTCGGCAGCCGGTGTGCCTGGCAGATATTACCATGCGGCTCGTCGGCGATTTGGGCTGTGCGGTATTTCCAAAACTCTATTTTTCTCCCACGAGTTGCTGATTGATGGGCGATTTGGGTTCGATCCTTGACTCGCTTTGTGGCGGCTGTCTATCTATAACTTAGCTAGTCTAGACCCAGGCAGCGAGGAACCGAATGATTGATTTCCGGCCGACAGTCCGTAGCCATGTTTTCATTTTCACACCACGTCTCCGAATTGGTAAACTTAAAACAGGAATAACCACAATTGAACAAAATACAATATCCGTAAAAAAAGACTATCCTCCAAAGCAGCGACGGACTCCCCGCTGCAGGCGCAGACACCTGTACCTAGGTCTCCGCCACAGAACTCCCCCCTCCCCATGTGGCGCCCAATCCCACGACGTCATGGGGAACTGGGTGCATATGATTGGGGGTAGCATCTTGACCCAAAATAAAGGAAGAAAGGGAACCCGGCGATACCATGAAAATCCCTAGGTATATACCTGGTTAAAAGCGGGAAGAAAAGGACCTAGTGACATATCGCATTGTGGCTCGCGGCCTTCCGATGGCTTGCTGGGTGGTTTGGGTGGGAGGGTTGAGGCGGCTCTGGATAGGCTGAGCAGGGGGCCGAGGCTCCAGCTCAAGTAAGTTTTTTTTAAAAGGTTGGCCACCTCGGGCGGTCGCCGTCGCAAATATATCTTTGGAAAACAAGAAACATGCGAATTCATAGCATGGAAAAGGCCGTGGAGAGTAACACGTACCAAAAATATCTCCGCGTATTGCTGTGCTGGCGCATGCAAGCCACAGGACGCTATTCTTGCTGGAGGGTTGGTCGGCTGGTATGTATCTAGCCTTGCTCCCCATTGCATGTAGTGACTACACGAGGACCTAGGTATCTAGGTACCTATAGTATGTACTCGTCACTTTCTAGCTCGAGCAAGGAAAAGAACCGAAAAGGAGCCTTGTCCCACCGTCCAAGAAACTCGATAGGCGGCACCAGCGGCAGCCGCGCGCCGTGCATCAGATGGAATGTCGACATCGACTTTTACTCGAGCCTCGCGAGTATGCGCACGCGACCAGCTTGCATAAATCGCTCAAGCCAAGAAAAAAAAGGGACGGGAAATTCCCATTCCAGGACAATTGCCGAAGGAAAAGGAGGAAAAGAAATCAATAAAAAAAGAAACCTTTTCATCTGTCGAGCTGGCTAAGGTCACTGGAGGGGCCGACGCTGCTGCAGGCCTTGTGGCGGGGCCGTCTGAATCCACTAATAATACCGACGGCCCGAGAAAGATCGAAAGGTTCCGTTTGTTCCATCATCGTTTCTACAAGCTGAAAAGCCACCTGCCATAGTGCTGCTTCCTTTTTGAAAGCGGGGAGGAAAAAAGGAAACATCTCTAATGCGCTGGCTCTCTTTTCTCGCTCTCATCAGGTCCACATCTTCTTTGCGGCGTTCTGCAAGATAAGGCTTATATGCAGTTGTGCGGTGCAACACGATGCGGACAGATGGAGCATGTCTCGAGATTGATTGCGGGCGATGTCCCTACGTCATCACCCGTCTCTCTCTACATGGCCAAGAGAAACCACTAGGGACGGTTGTGCAGGCCCTGTTGATTGCAGCTGCATATCTACTGCAAAGAACATGTTCTGCGGGGTTGACTCGAGGGTTGACCTCGTTCTCGTCTCTTGGTAACCTGTAGATGCTGGTGACTCTAGGTTCTGCTTTTAGGCACAACCGGAGGGGCGAGGATGCTGTGAGATGACAGACCTCGATATTTGCTAACTAGCGGTGGCGCGCTCAAGTAAAAAAGCAAATAGTACAAGTACATACAGACCTTTTGGCAACTTTCTTCCACACACACGTTTGTCGATGCAAGGTGCACGTGGGTTACCCTGGAGCGCTTGAAGACTGCCATTCCGATATGTATCAACTATTGCATACACATACTGATATCGATAAATGCGGAGATTGCTCATTGCCTTATCTTCTTGATGCTTCTGTCTCCATCATTTTCGTCTCATCTTCCTCTTATTATTAGTTTTTCATTTTATATGGATTACTGCCTTGGATCGTGCAAATGGTCCCTTGATTCTTCAAGGTCTACGACATCCTTACAAGAGCCGCGAGCGAGTGAGGCTTTGTCGTCCTCCATGAGCCATAAACATAGCAACGACGACGCATGCATATTTTTCACATGTCAGAGAGAGTTTCCGAGGCGTGATTTCTGCATATGCGCCCTTTGTCGTGCTAGAGCACCTCGGTAGGTAGTGGTGGTGAAACAGCGTTGGACGGGTAGCGCCGTAGTGCTCGGCTGCGCGTACTCATATGCGCAAAAGGCCGGATGGTGTCCAGCGCATAAAGAAGTCTCCCATGATCGGCATGGCAACAATGAAAAAAAAAAATACAGCGCAGCCGTCATCACGGTAGTACAAGTCAGAGGTTATGCAGCGCCGTTTCAACTGTGCTGTGCCCCACCACGCCATACGCCTTGTCCCCCTCGGCAACCACCGGCCGGTTGGGTCTGTCGGATTTCTGAGAACTACCTTATTAATAGTAAAAGGTCTGATCGGGCTAGAGCAAGTAATGCAGCAAATGAACTCTCATCGACGAGACCATGAAGAAGGCGCAAGCTGATGTCTTCTGGGGGCGCATCGGGCGGAAAGAAAATAAGGTTTCTGTAAAGGACACGATGAGGCTTGGCAGGCTGTGTTTTTCTTGGCCTGAAACGGAACAATGCGAGACATCCACGTGGGACAAGCAAAGAGTTGCGCGTGTAAGTCGAGGGGATGATGCGGACAGGCTTCGAAATATCCGAGTCGATACACTACGACTTGGCGACTTCCGTGGTTGAATGCGTATTATTAGTCTTGACTCTTGCTAAATGCGGCGGGCCTGTAAAGATGGGAATGCATGATATGAGAAGAGAGTCACTGTTGGAGCTCGAAAAATTACTCAGTAAAGGAGCAGAAAGAAAGGATCACGACGTAACTAGTTACACCCAGTTAACTAGTTAGACAAGATATGTCCAAATTCAAGTTGCACCGCAACTCCGCGAGGTGTGGCAAGAAACTTTGTTTCTCGCACAGATGCAGAAGCTCAAACAGAACCAGCCACAGGTTCCGGAGAAGCAGGCAATCTGTTCCCTTTTTAGGACAGGGATGCGTTTGCCTGAACGACACATACGTAATCACGAGGGCAAAAGCATGGGAGAGAAAATAAGCAACCTGGGCCCGGCCGGTTGGGACAGCGACATCGTAAACCGATAAGCGGGCGTATGGGTGGCCGATTGGGATAGAGCGAGAGCTGAGTGCGCGCTGGCCCTGGTCAGGCGAAACATGGTCGGTTTCATCTCTTGTGGCGCCGGGCCTATCACCGGCCGGGATTGTGTGACGATGGGACAGGGGGGGTCACGGCGGTAACTAGGGCATTAAGGAGGAATACGGCAACGGGGACGGCATGACAATGCTGCCAGAGTCTATAGATGAGCCAATAACGAGGACAAGGGAAGCGGGATAGCCGTTTTGGGAGAGGTCCCGTTATAGCTTCTACATACCAATAGTTACGTGAGGCCGACTCGTTCTGATGATGCCATGACCTTCGTACGGACAAAGCGTGGGGCGGCTCGTAGTTGATGGGGTTGATTCGAATCGTACGTGGACTAGCTGGCTGCAGTCAAAGTCCATCAACTTCCCCGCCGCCCGGTTTCCCAAGCCAACGGCGTCGGCCTTGAGCACGGCCGTGAGAGAGTTTGCCAAGTACAAGCAGCAAAGCAGTTATGCCTCGGAGGCTGATCCGCTGTAAGCCTAGAGGGGGATGAAACAAGGCTATCCTGAGGCGAGGCAAACAAGCCCAAGCTGATAGACATGCAGCGTACTCGGTAGTTATGTTTGTTTCGAAATTTGGTAATATTTTTTCCTGGCGAGCAAGAAAACCAAAAAAAAAAAACACATAGAAAGAAAACGAATGTTGAGACGGTAGGCCGGGCCGCGTGCTGCGATGAGGAGAGCCAGAGCCAGAACCCCCCCGTGTTGCGGGCCGGAATGGAATAGAGTGTTTCAACCAGCACAGCCTGCATGCGCAACCAAGTGCATAGAGCTGTCACGGTGGGTGGTGGCCTCGGCACAAGAGAAATGTGCTAGAGCCAACATATGTTGAATGAATCGGACCAAAAAAAAAAAAAACAAGGCATTGTTGCGTTACCTATTGACTGGCTATCGACATCAAAAGAGCCACGCCGAGCATAGGTAGCGTTTCATGTTGGCCGGTTGTCCGCGCCATGGCCCTTGCCACGCCCTGTCAGCCAGCAGAAAAAAAAGCGAACAGCAAGGCTGGTCGCATTGACCTTGGCGCAAACCCCAAGGCCCTTTGCATATTCTCAGGTAGGTTACCGGTGTGTCAAGAACTCTTGTCTCCTGCCAGACAAAGAAGAGGGTTGCGTGTGTTTACATATAACACCACTTTTATCCCCCGCATCCCGTTCCATAACGGCCCTTTCTCCCCCCTGCTGTCCTTTGCAATTAAATAAACGAGGCTCAAAGCGAACGGGGGTTGTCTGGGAAAAAATTACAGGGGACCTTGGGGGCCAATCGTACTGTCGAATCCGGCCGGTTTTATTTTTGGCCCGCCATCAGAAAAAAACGCTGGTTCCCGTCATCACATCTGCATCCTTGTCTCAGCACACAACCTGCGGGCGCTTACTGCAACAAGTGCACTGCAGCCTGCCATCCATCAGCTTGCTGCGCCGAATTTTTTTTTCCTTCGTTTCCCGTCCTCTTTTTCTTATCATCCTCTGCAGCGGGTCGGTGCTAAAGAAAGTTCCGTGCACAAACCGTCAACGCCACTTGGCCGGCGAGCGCGGTGCCACCATAATCAGCCCCCGTCCAACCGTCCCGCGCCAGGGGACTCGCAGCTCGCAGCTCCTTCACCAGCCACTCAGCGTTGCTGCACACACCTGCACCCCTAACGAGGTGGCCACGCTTGGAAACACGTCTCACGCCTACGCCTCATCAACCCTCCCCTCCCCTGCCTCATCACCGGCGCACGCATTACTTTACTTCTACCTGTTTCTTCATCTCTCCAACACCTTTTTTTTCTTTGCTCGGCGGGGGACTCTAATCGAATTGTCGTTTCGTTCTTCAGTTTCTTTCGCATTTGTGTCTTCTTCATTTTAGTTCTTATTTCTTCAACCTTCGACGCCACTTTGCCTCTGTCCCGACGCCCGCACCCGCCCGTCCAACATCGTGCTGCCGAGCCGCCTTCGACGATTAATTCAGAGTCTCGACTCGACACCTTCTCTTTAAAGGAGCCAACCCGAGATCCCACGTTTCCGACAATCGACTTGATCGCTCTCAAATCAACAAAACACTTTGTTATACACACCCGGGAACCGGTATTCCAACGCCACCATGTTGGCCACCAAGCCGCCATTCTCTGGCTCGTCCATCAGCACAGCTGGTCTGGCTGCCAACACGATACAGTCCGGCTTGCCCACCGCCCGCCGCATCCCTAACATCGCCAACCCGCCTCAAACCTTCGCCAGCCCGACCGAGTCCGAGTTTTCCGAGACGGATGGCCCCGACTCAGTCAAGAACTGGGACGAGGACCGCGTCTGCGACTACCTCGTCAGCGTCAAGTGCAGCGAGTACGAAAAGCTTTTCCGCAAGAACAACATCAATGGCCAGAACCTCTTGGAAATGGACAAGGATGTCCTCAAGGAAATGGGCATCGAAAAGGTTGGCGACCGCGTCCGCCTCTTCCTCTGCATCAAGAAACTACGGACAAGGGCATATGCCAACCAAAAGAAGAGAAACAGGGTGCGTTTTCTCTTGTACTCCTCATCAGCTTCTTCAACTAACTGCTTTAGGATTCATTTGCGGCCCTCGAACCTATATCAATTTCTGCTCCAGGTGTCTCGCCGCGGCCTCTGAACCTCCGCAGTAACAGTAGCAACACCACAATTTCTGCGCCCGTGAATCGACGATACTCAAGACAAATCGACATACCACCACCTCTCGAGATCGACCGCTCCAACAGGTCTTCTTCCCCACCCGTATCGGCTGAAATGCGCTCCGCGAGACAGCAAAGATTCCCGGCCGGCTACATGAGCAATGCGACACCCAGCACCTCTGCTAGGCTGCCCACCCCCGCCGAGGGTGAAGCATCCGGTCGCATGCCAGCGGCCCATACGAGAAACAACTCTAGCATGGATGGCTCTCTTATGGCTGCGCTCCCACAAGGTCAAGACGTTATCCGCGTCATATCCACTGGCGGTGTCACCAAAGTCGTCAAGATTGCCGACTGTAATACTTGCGAGGACGTTATGCGTGTCACACTCCGAAAGTTTTCGCTACGGGAAGATCACGAAAGAAATTACTGTTTTTGGGTTCTCACCGGTCTCGACCCGGATCCCCGCGAATGCAGACGCCTAGGTGATACCGAGCTCTGGCGAATCATCAAGGACCAGCGCCGACCCGAGCGCAATCGCTTAATTCTGCGCCGAGTCCCTGCTGGAGAGCCTGGCGAAGCTGAGCTGCAGCGGGCTGCGGCAATTGCCTTGGAGGAAGAACAGCAAAAGCATACCCGTGCACTCGAGACAGTCGACAAGCGCAGCCAGGTCAAGGTACAGAAACTGCTGGGTGAGAATTGGGATGAAGAGCTACAACAGCCGCTATCTCCGCTCCTCTTCCGTGACCGCGACGAATACTATAGAGCTGCTATGCGCGAGCTGGAAAGACCCTCGCCGACGACGGAAACACGGCCGCAGAGCAAGAGCAGCATTGCGCTGCGTCAGTTTGGCGGCCTACGACCCCCCAGTGAACTCATTGCCTCGGATCTCACATCATACTTCCCCGACCACCCTCGTGAGGAGATTGATCGCACTGCGCGTCTTTCTATGCGCCGATCCACGCGCCTGAGCAGGATCAACAGCCGTCTTAGTGTCGCGAGTAGCGTCAGCTTTGCTTCCAGCGTTCAGGATGCGCCGCCCATGCCCACGATTGCGGATTCTTGGCTGAATGGGAACACGCACATTGCCAAAGTCCGAACCAGAGATGCTCGCAGCTTATACCACCGCGACTCCATCTCATCCTCGATGCTCGATACCCTCCAGGAAGAGACGCCTTCGGAGCCTGACCGCAAGTCGTACGTCTCCTTCACGGAGAGCACCTCGGATACAGCTGCTGGTAGCCTTACACTGGCCGGGGTCATGAGCTACTTTGACGGTGAAGGCTCTACCGGTTCGGCGCCGCTGCACGACCTCAAGCAGGCGCTCACCAATGACGGTGAGGATGACGACGAAGAGCTGCAGAGTTTCTTGGACGGTGATTCCTGGGATGATAACAAGTGGATGAAGGGAGCTTTGATCGGCCAGGGCTCATTCGGCTCCGTATACCTTGCGCTGCACGCTGTTACTGGTGAGCTTCTCGCTGTCAAGCAAGTCGAGACTCCTTCGGGGACGCTGAGCGCTAGCGACTCGCGCAAGCAGAGTATGATTGACGCGCTGAAGCGAGAAATTGGACTGTTGCGGGAGCTCAGACACCCCAACATTGTGCAGTATCTGGGCTGCAGCTCGACAGACAGCAACCTCAATATTTTCCTCGAGTACGTTGCTGGTGGTTCGGTGCAGACCATGCTCAACTCGTATGGTGCGCTTGGCGAGCCGCTGGTACGCAGCTTTGTGCGACAGATCTTGACTGGTCTGTCGTATCTCCACGCGCGTGACATTATTCACCGCGATATCAAGGGGGCCAACATCCTGGTGGACAACAAGGGCACCATTAAGATTTCCGACTTTGGCATCTCCAAAAAGCTCGAGGCCTCGAACCTGTTGGGTGGCGCTAAGAACGCCAAGCACAGGCCGTCGCTACAAGGCTCGGTCTTTTGGATGGCGCCGGAAGTGGTGAAGCAAACGTCGTACACGCGCAAGGCAGACATTTGGTCGCTGGGCTGCTTGGTGGTGGAGATGATGACGGGCACGCACCCGTTCCCCGACTGCAGTCAGCTGCAGGCTATTTTCAAGATTGGCGGCGGCAAGGCGTCGCCGACGATTCCGGAAAACGCCAGCGCCGAGGCGAAGCAGTTTCTGAACCAAACGTTTGAGCTGGATCACGATCTGCGCCCAAGTGCGGATGAGTTGATGCTGAGCCCGTTTCTCAGCCCCATTACGTGATGTGTTTAATAGGCGCTTACGACGACTTGGCACTGGGCTGGACTTGGTCGCCACACGTCTTGCCGGGGGAGGGGAAGCATGCGGGGAGACATTTCTTGCACATGATTAGATGAGGTGGTCACTGGCCGAGCAGTTGGCTAGAGTGATTATGAAGAGCATTTCTTGCATATGAAACGAAGGCAGCTACGGCGTCGAACTGTATTTAATTTAGAGTTGGAGGCAATACGAATGACACGAATAGATGTGACTCTGATGCGCGATACCTTGTTGCATGTGTGAGGCCTCTACGTACAGCCACCCAAAAGGCGGATTGGCGTGCCATTTGACGGCAAGCGATGACGACTTTTTACACTTTGATTTACCAGGTGACAAGAAACAAACCAAACTCGACTGACTGGCTTCTAGTTTGTCACCTGCACAGAGGGTGTGGCGGGTCGATATCCGCCCGCGTCTGCTGCCTAAATCGACGGGCCGCAGAAACTGGCCGTGAGATGTCTTGTCAGGCAAGGCAGCACCGAAATGACCAGTCAAGTGGACAAGGAGGTCTCACTGACCCCCCAGAAAAGACAGAGAGACGAGGAGGACCAGCTAACAGAAGGATCAATTATAAAAACACGGCGTAGCGTGTGAATGCGGGGTCGCGTTCTTTGTCTGACGTTGGTTCGCCCAACCATGGTTTACATTTGTGGGCGTTGAACAGATCAACAACCTCGCTCATCTTTTTTTCCCCAGCTGTGTCACCACTTCTTTATCATCCCTTACAACACCACTTTCCCAAAAAAGACAGACAATTGCACAAGAAATAAAAGAGAGACGTCCGAGTCTTCAAGGATGGCAGAGACCGGGATGGACTCGCAGGACAGCCTGGACTCGCAGGGCAGCAACGTGACGATTATCGAAGAGGACCGCGAGGAGATCCTCTACTTTGCCTACGGCAGCAACCTCTCGACGGCGCAGATGCTCGACCGCTGCCCGTTTGCCACGGCCATTGGCCTGGGCTTCCTGCCCGGCTGGCGCTGGCACATCAACGAGCGGGGTTACGCCAACGTCCTGCCGCCAGCTTCCACCAGCACCGACGACGGCGGCGGCGGCGTCTACGGGCTGCTCTACCTGCTGCCGCCGCGCGACGAGGCCCGGCTCGACGGGTTCGAGGGCGTCGCCTCGGGCGCGTACGGCAAGGTGCACCGCACGCTGCGCTGGGTGCGCGACGCCGACGGCAAGCCCCTCCCCGGAGCCGCCGGCCAGGAGGTCCAGGCGCTCGTGTACGTCGACGACAAGCGGACGGGGCCCGGCGTGCCGCGCGACGAGTACGTGCGCAGGATGGAGAGGGGCATCGACGACGCCGTCCAGAATTGGGGCATGGACGAGGGGTATGCCGACAGGGTCATGCGCAAGTGGTGGAAGACGACGGCGGCTGCGCTTGGGACATAGGTCTTTGGCTCTTGTAGACGCAAGCAGGCGGCGACTTGGCATGATCAAACGTTGGCGGCTGAAGCGGCTATAGGGCAGGGAAAATTGGTGGATGGACGCCGCTCAGTTGTGTCCTTTTTTTTTTTTTTTTTTTTTAGCTTCTCTGCTTTTGCTTTGCATTTTTTAGACTCAAGAAAAGTATAAACAAAAAACCGCGTATTTCAATTTTGTGTTGCTGAATGATAGATACGTCCGTCTGAACTTGCTCCCGCAACGCCGAATCTCGGACATGTGAGACCCGACCCGGCCGAGAACGCGCCCCCCGTCTCTTCCCGCCCGCGCCCCCCGACGACTTCACCAACTTGCACACCCACAAACCCAGGGCCACCATGCGCCCACCACCACCACCCACCACGCTTCTCCGGCGCCTGCGCGCACCCGCCACCACGCGCCGCGCCGTGCACACTGGTCTGCGCAGCGTCCCCGCGTGGTTCGTCCGCGGCGGCACCTCCAACGGTCTGGTGCTGCGCGCCGCCGACCTGCCTCCGGCCGGGCGCTGGCCGCTCATCCTGCCGGCCGTCATGGGCTCTCCGGACGCGCACCACGCGCGGCAGCTCGACGGCATGGGGTCCGGCGTGAGCTCCACGTCCAAGCTCGTGGTGCTGTCCGAAACCACCACCACCTGCGACGTCGCGTACACGTTTGTGCAGATTGGCATCCGCGACGGCGCCGTCGACATGGCCGGCAACTGCGGCAACATGTCGAGCATCGTCGGCCCCGCGGCCTGGGACATGGGCTACGTGTCGGCCGCGGCCAAGGCGTCGCTGGTGACGACGGCGGCCGACGGCACCCGCTGGGCCACCGTGCGCCTGCTCAACACAAACACAGACAAGGTCGTCGAGTCGACGTTTTGCGTCGACGGCGGCGGCGCGTACTGCCCGGCCGGCGACTACGTCATGGACGGCGTGCCCGGCGCCCACTCGCCCGTCACGATGCGCTTCCTCGACCCGGCCGGTGCCAAGACGGGCCGCGCGCTGCCTACCGGCCGCGCCGTCGACACCCTGCTGCTGCCTGACGACGACGGCCGCGGCTGTGCTGCTGTGCGCGCGTCCCTCGTCGACGTCGGGAACCCGGGCGTCTTTGTGGCGGGCGCGTCGGTCGGCCTGGACGCGCCCGTGGCGCCCGCCGCTATTGAGGCCGACGCGCCGCTCAAGGCGCGCCTGGAGGCGCTCCGGCGGCAGGGCGCGGCGCTGATGGGCATGGACCCGGACACGGAGAGCGTGCCCAAGATTGTGCTCGTGTTCCCGGCAGCAGAGGACGCGGCGGCGGCGGCGGACCTGCGCTGCCAGGCCATGAGCATGGGCCAGGCGCACAAGGCGGTGCCGCTGACGCTGGCGCTGTGTCTGGGCGCGGCGGCGCGCATCGAGGGCACGCTGCCGTGGCGCATGATGAGGGATGCCGGACGGCCAGAGCACGCCGAGACGGTGCGCATTGCGCATCCGAGCGGGTTGGTGGACGTGGGCACGACGATTGTGGATGGGGAGATTCGAGCGGCAAAGTTGCTCCGCACGGCGAGGGTGTTGATGAAGGGCGATGTTTTCTACTAGATGGGGTGTTTCCTAGATGGAGCTTGTAGTATATATAGGTAGATACTCTGGGTTGTCGACATCTACCAACACCATGGAAAGAGGTAGATTTCAACCTTCGAGTTCTTTTTCCTTGTAAACTTGGTCATTGTGCTGTATGGTGGACAGAAGCAGTCATTCACGCAAAGCACCGTCAATCAACATGCAAATATATGTACTTTTCAAGTCTACCTGATGGTCAACCACACACCGATATTCGCGCCTCAACACCTCGCTAAACCTCACCCGTTTGTCAACATGTCATCATCCCTCATCATATATACAAGTAGCTCTAGATGCCATCAATCGGGCAGTCATTGATATTATCCTGCCAGACGGCCTTGGCATACGGCAGCAAAAAGTCTGTCACAAGTCAGCACTCGCTCCCCATTCACGACTTCCCATTCACGACTTACCTTGCGACGTAAAGTTGCAGTCAATGTAGCAGTCGACCAAGCTAGCGTTGAATCCGCTGCCAAGGTACTGCAAAATGTACTTTTCGATACTACACTTTTCATCAGTATTTGCTTTTCACACAAACAGCACGGATACTGCACGCACAAGTCGTAAAACACCACGTCGACAACCTCGGGGCTGCCCTCGGCCGGGAAGCCGGCGCGCGCCTCATAGTAGCCCGGGTTGCGCATAAACGGCACCGCCGTGTGGTTGGTGTCGTCGCCGTCGGTGCCCCAGTCGTCCTTGGTGACGTAGCCGGGCGTGACGACCTCTTGCCGGCGGACGGGCCCCCCGTGCTGCTCGCGGCGTCCGAGGTGGCCCGCGGTCGGGTTGGTGCATGCGTCCTGGGGGACGGCCATGGAGACGAGGGTGCTGCGCTTGTCGGCGCGGCCATTGTTGAGCCTACACGATAGTATGGTTAGCAAATTGCCCCCCTCTCCTTGAAGAATCCCATCTCAACATACTGCCTAATCAGCTTCTGCGCCTTGTCATACGGCACGTCCTTGAGGTACCGAAAGACGTCGCGGAACGGGGACACGATGAAGTTGTCGTCGTACGTAAACGGGCCCTTGGGCACGTCGTAGCGCACGCTGCCCGTGTTGCCCAGGATGATGCGCGCCTTGTCCGCGCGCGCCGGCTGCACGACAATCTTGGAAACGGCCGGCACGATGACGCCCGGGAACAGGTTCTGCGGGCTGTCAAACGGCGCGCACTCCATGCACCACGACTGCGGCGCGCAGCCGTACACGTCGCCGAGGCGGAGCTTCTCGCGCGCGGCCGTGATCAGCCCGGTCACGCGGCTGCCCGAGTGGTAATCGTAGGTCCCCGGCTGCTGGTGCGAGTGGTAGATGAACGTGTTGCGGTTCCAGTCGAGGTACCTCCGCGCGTAGCGGAACGGCGACGTCGCGTTCGTCTTGGCCGGGCGCGCGGGGTTGGGCACACCGCGCGGGTTAGCAATACCCTTGTAGCCGCTGTTGCGCGCGTCAAAGCCCGTCATGGCCACCCAGCCAATCGTCTCGCAGTAGCGGCCGGCCTCGATGCCGACCGACGTCTCGTCGTAGACGGCAAAGTCGCGGATGTGGCTGTGGCCGCCAAACAGGGAGACGGGCGTCGTCGGGTGCACGGCGCGGATGGCGTCCCACACCGTCTTCAAGGTGCTTCCCTTGTCGCGCGGGCTGACGGCATTGTGCCCAAAGAGCACAAACAGGTCGACGGGCTGCGTCGTGTGCAGCGCGTCGGCGAACCAGGCCTCCTTGACCATGTCGGCGGCCTTGATGACGCGCGAGGCATTGGAGTTGCCGGTAAAGTCAAAGAGCACGCCAAAGGCCATGACGCGCAGGCCCTTGTCCGTGGTGAAGTAGCGGTGCGTGGCGCCGACGTACTCGAACGCGCCCGTGGCCGGGTTGCGGATCTGCACGTTGGACGTGACGTATCGGTCGCCCCATTTCCGGGCCCAGGTATTGAACATTTGGTACGCCACCTCGCTCACGTACAGCTCGTGGTTGCCAATTGTCAGCAGGTCAAAGGCGACCTCGTCAAAGATGGGCATGGACAGCACGCCGTCCTCCGGCGTGGCGTCGGACAGGCCCGTGCCGTCGTGCAGGTCACCCGTGTCGACGAGCAGCAGGTCCACGCCCATGTTGCCGGCCGTCTGCTTCATGCGCCGGGTAAAGGTGACAAAGTCGCCCCAGTCAGCGCCGTAGTTGGGCTGCTTGAGGTGGCCCTCGAGCCAGCCGTGCGTGTCCGTCTGTTGCGTGTCAGCTGCCTTGATCTAGGTTCACTCATGGTTCAAGGTGTGGGAGAGCGATCAAGGGGGTGGGTTGGTTATACCGTGTGCATGAAGTTGATCTGACCCCATTCAAGAGGCCCCTTGGGTCCGTAGGTCGCATTGGGCGCACCCGGCTGCATGCGCTTGACCTGGCGGACATACTCGACATTGTTTTGGGGGCCGTAGCAGCTGTCTTGGTCATGGCCGCAGGCGGCAATCAGGCTGGGGCCAATGACGGCGGCAATTAGCCCGTTGAGGAAGCAAGTAGACTTCATTTTCTGTCCGACGTTTTCCTTTCCGATAGTATGGTCGGCAAAGGGCCCAGAGACTTGCCAGGGGGCAGCTTGACCGTTGTTATAAAGAGATTCGCTAGTTAGGGCCTCGCCGATAGAACAAGCCTGGCTCTGTCTTAGACGTGCCACACCGGGGTGTGGCACGTGTATCTGGACGAATCCAGAGACCGAAAGCCTGGCGTTGGCGTTGAAGACGCAGAATTGCATAGAGTAGTCTCCACCGCGGTGCCAACACATGGTTGCATTGCGCCCTCCTAGAGGCTCCCTTGTCCGCGAAGACGCAGCGCCGAGACGGGTCAACGGAAACAGAGCTGAGCGCCTTGTGGGGGGGGGGTTCCTCATAGCCCCCAAACGACGAGGCAACGAGCACTAGAACAAACGCCACGAAGCAGAGCGGGAACAAGTTGTCTTGGCCGTATTGCCCCATGTGGAAGGCCAAGAGGCCAGTCCGCGTCGATCGCGGCGTGCCTGTGCGGCGGGTGCGGCTGAAGGAAACGTACAGAAGTTCGACGAGACCGCTAGGCCAGAAACCAAACCAGGGAACTAGGTGAAACGTGGACAGTTCCTGGTGGTTCGCCAGAGTGACGTCTTGCCTGCCATAGCAACGTACCCCTAGTAGCTCGGACCCAAGATTTAACAGGGCGAGCGTGGCCACAACTTCGCACTACAATAACCTGGTTTCTAGCAAGGAATCAGCGCGCTAACAAGCGCGCCAGGCACGAAATTGAGGCTATTACAAGCCTGCTGCTGAAATATCTGTAAAGAGTTGGACCCATCATGTAGCTGGCGCGACCCAAGTGGACACTGAGCCAGTATATGCCCCTAACAAGAGTCACACAGATGAACAAGTGGCCAGTTATGTCAGATATACTTTCATTTGTCCCTTGCACCTAAGTATTATGTAACAGCAACAGCCTGATATACCCCCATCGACCCGTCCGCGGCGTATATCGAAGCGTCACCGAGCCGAATCGAGGTGTCATCAAGTGGGAAAAACCGAACCTAAACAAGACAATAGAGTTCCTATTGTCAGCCAAAGGCTGCGATGGTGCGGATATAAGAAAGGAACCCCCGAAGGGAAAAAAGAATCCCGAAATGCTCCCCGCTTTCACAACTCAGATGTAGTATCTATTCCTTCATTGCCAACCGTCCCACTGGGGAGGTTTGACTAGGCATAGCTTTTCTCTTCACAGGAGATCAGCGGATCGTCACAAGTCCATACCTTTTCAATGATGATTAGCGGCCCTAGATGTTGATGACAGGAGCTTTGTCTCTGGTCGCGGCATCGGCTGGCCTTTTCTGAGAACATATCCCGGTCGACAAGGCTCGTTCGAGTGGATGAATCGAAAACTGATGGCTCGATACGGAATATTCAAGAAGAATGTAAAAAACAAGACCGCGGCCATCTACCAAGGCTACAGCGAAGTGATTGAAGGATGGAAAGCTGGCGGACCCTCAGAGAAACTCATCTGGCGAGTTAAATACTTGTTTATTTACTGCAAGAGCCCTCAAGTGAGGAAGGAAACTACTGACTGAATGGTCAGGAACAATACTGTTCAGTGTTGGCATGGCCATGAGCAAAGCTCCTTCCCGCCCGCGAGGCAAGTGTAGCGAAGACCATGCCAATCAAGTCCTACGCGGTCCTTGGTCGGTTGGGGTCATGCTTGGGCGTCAGATTAAGGCAGCTATGAGGTCCTATTTACATCATTCTCTCTACATGGTCCGTGTAGGTGTTTTTGCTGCGCTTGGCGGGATTCAGGGCTGTCTGGCGGTCTTCTCCTGTCGAGGCTACGATAGATGCCATCTATCAAGGTGTAACTGGGCAACTGCAGTGGCATGAAAAAAACGTACTTGTGCCTTTTCTATCAGCTGCCCAAAGATGAATCCCTCGTGTAACATGTATAGTCCGACTGCCGCCACTCGGCGCTTACATGGCTGAGGCGATACTCGGTGCCGCCATCAAGAATAATTAATTATATTGTCCAAACCTCAAAGTTACGATGCCAAATCAATACGTGATGCAGTTTGAAAGGAGACTTTTTGTCTGGCATTTCCATCCCTTCCTTTCGCCGGCATCTGCAAGCAACTGTAACCCCTAACAATTGATGGCCGATGTGACGTTGTGACCACTCCTTTGGCGCAGATAATAACTGAGAAGGAGCTTTTAGACGCGCATCCATAGCGAAGCTTGTAGGTTGACAGCGATCCGGCTATAATGCTGGAAAAGTGAAGTTTCTTGGCCTGTTGTCTCCTGGGTGGGTGCCAGTAAAAAGGATTTCTGAGTACAGTTTCTTTTTATGTCGAATTGCGTCTTGTCACCCTGGTGCCTCTGCCATCCATCCCAAGCGGGTCCCATCTACCTCGCCTCACCACAGAACCAGCTCGCCTCAAACCAGCCTCCCGAAGCTTCGTTCAATGGCATCGCACCCGTACTACCCCCTCGACGCGGCCGTGCCTGGCTACGAGCCCAACGCCGCGGCGCTGCCCACAGTGCTTGCGCTCTTTGGCGGCATCACGGGCGCCGTTGTCCTCGTCGCCTACGCGGCGGCTGCGCGGCTGCGGCTGCCATCGCTCGACTGCTTCGCCGCCGCCTGGTTCGCGCTGTGTACGTCCCCCTCCCAATGGCTGTTTGAACCTCGGCTCTAACCAAAAGTCCCAGGCGCATTCCTGCACCTCTGCTTTGAAGGTTAAGAGGCCCCAGCACTCCCAATACCATACATGTCCCAACCACTGAAACCTCGTCACAGGATACTTCATCTACTATAAAAGCGAACTGCTAAGCCACCACTCATTATTTGCCATGCTTTGGAAGGAATACGCCCTCTCCGACTCTCGCTACCTCACCGGCGATCTCTTTACTCTCTGCATCGAGACCATTACCGTCGTGCGCATTTCATGCCTCCCCTTCATGCCTCCGTCGAGCTGACAAGCAATTCCCAGTTTGCCTGGGGTCCCCTATCCCTCTGCACCACGCTCGCCATCCTCACCCGCTCCCCCAGCCGCCACTTCCTCCAGGTCCTCATCTGCATGGCCCATCTCTACGGCGTCCTACTCTACTACAGCACCAACTGGGTCGACTACCGCTTCAGCGGCATCTCGTACAGTCGTCCCGAGTTCCTCTACTACTGGGTCTATTACGTGGGCTTCAACGCGCCTTGGTTCTTCATGCCGCTTGGTACGGATACCCACAACCCTTTCTCCTCCCCCTTAACGAGGTATTGCTAACTTTGGATCTAGGTCTGCTGTATGATAGCTGGTCACACATCACCACTGCAATTGCGTTTCAACGAGACGCGCAGCTTGCAGCCAAAAACGAGTAAACTGGGATCTCCAATCCGTGGGCCCAGTCATCAAACTGTATTCATCTAGTATAACAAAGGTATTTTGAATGCCTTGTTTTGCTGTACCTAGATAGATGTATCCCAATGATCACTAGTCCATTACTCCGCAAGATACCTTTCCGTATCGCTGTAAACCAAAATTCTTGCTTGTTATTACACGGTGGCCTGCAGCCTCTCCAGGCGCGACGTCACCGCATCCACCAGCGCCGTCTCGCGTGAGAGCAGCCCCTGCACCTGCTGCAATTTGCTGCGTCGGACATCCTGCGGGATGCGCAGCTGCGGCGTTGACGTCGTCTCCGTCTCCATCTCCCCGCCCTTCTTGAGCGCTTCCAACTCAGCCGCGAGCTCAGCCTGCAGCTTCTTGATACTGTCCAGGCGCTTCCACAGCTCCTGCGACTGTTTCGTAGCATTGTCCTCTTCTTCAGAAGCACCAGGGCCCGAGACGCTTGCATTCAAGGTGCGCACTTCCTCCATAAAGGCACGTTCCTTGATGCTCAGCTCGCGTGTGCTTGACTTGCCGACAATCTTGCGAAGATTCTCGACGCGCTGCGCAATAGCCTCCTGCCGATCGCGTGCTTCCGAAATGCGACGGTCATACATGGCGTTGTCGCTTTCGTTGTTACGGTCAGCACCGTTGATGGTGTCAATCTTGCCCTTGACCTCATTGGCCTTGATCACTTGCTGCTTCAGCTCGCTTTGCAGGAGCTCACACCGTCTGAAGATTTGGGCAGCAGACACGCCAAGCTTGTATGTCTCATCGCTCAAAACCTTATGAGCATCCGTAAAGATTTGCAACGTCAGCGGGCTTAATTTGACCTGTTGAGAAACGACAGTCTTGTGGCGTGATGTGCGTAGTCTTTCCAAAAGCAGCGGTAGTGATGACCCCTGGTCGAACACATGTGGAGGGTTGTAGACTGGGCGAGGCTCGTAGAAATCGAGAGGCGCCATGCTGGCTTCGCGTTCACGCTCGGGGCTAGCCTCTCGGTGAATAGGAACAACGTCCAGCTCGGGGGTCTCAAAGGTGAGAGCGATGGGCTCGTAAGGGCTGGCTGAGAGGAGGAAATAGCCGACATCTGGGTCTCTCAACACCACACATCCCGTGAGTGGCATAGCAGCATCTGCGGCAGGCTGGGCATAGACTCGTTCTCTGATAGATTGAGAGTTAACAAGTAGCCCGATTCTAAAGTCTGTACCAGTTTCGTAGTCTCCTGAAAGCTCTCCTTCAAGCCGAAATATCCACGATGCAAGGGAAACGAAAGTAATACCAGCGTGGTGTGTGACAAAGAAGCTGTATCGTGACAGGGCATCGGCGCTAAATACAGGCCAACTCTCTTCTGTTACCTCAACGGGCGTCATGGTGTCGATTGCTTGAAATGCGAGAAGTGACGACGTCTTGCCTTCCGCGAGCAATTTGCTGTTCTTGTATTTATTCTTGGGTGGTAGCCACTGTGCTTGGACACTGTCCATATCCAGATAGATGCGCAGCTGACCGCTGGTAGACAGCAGGCAAATGACCGCTAGCGAGAGGCCTTCTTGGTCACCGGCGTCAAGATCCAGATCGTACTCATCATCTTCCCCTAGCATGAGATCATGCGTCTCAGTCTTTTTGCCGATGACCAGAATATCGGTTACCGACGTATCTAGCTCGTCACCAGTCTCGGGGTCGGAAACGAGATCAAATGGTCCTTGCAGGCGGGGTGTAATACCAGGTCGAGAGGGTCGAGTGTAAACTTCGATGGGAGGTTCTCCCAGGGCGGTGCTGTCGATAATCTGTGGCTCTTGCGAGTCCAAGTCACCCATCCATTGCAATTGCTGTTGGGCCAGGAGTTTTTCGTACTCGTCTACCGAGGCATCGTCCTCGATACTGCCGACTGTAGCCACAATGGATACCGACAGTGAAGGGATAAGCGTGGGAGGAGGCGCCCAGCGCTGAGGCAAGAGTGGGCAAAGAGCGTAGACGTCTCCTTCGCGCATGGCCACCCACAGAGTCATTGGGTTCCAACCACCCGTTCCCTTGCCAGGAAAGCTTGCTGCAGCAACTTCCATCTCGAATGAGTCGGGCGAGAAGGCCTTGTTTGTCGCCGAAGTCGACGCGGAGAAGTCTTGCTCCAAAGATGTACCATCTGCCAGCTTCTTCAGGTCGATCGAGGTTGTAGGGGTATCAAAAGACCAGCGGTCACCAGTGGACAGCTCCCACACTCTGACGATCGCATCAGCCGTGACAGTGACAATGCAAGATCCATTAACGCCCAGCGGATGCCAGAGCGCCGACATGATGGGCGACCGTGACGTAACATGGGTCGTAGGGCCTAGGGTAGAGATCTTGGGCTTCAGCGGGGCAGTATCGTCGCTCGTGAGATGCGTCGAGTCAGGTATCGTGCAAATATGAATCGTGTGCGTGGTAAGAATAGCGAGGAGGTTGGTGTTAGGGGAGATGATGAGCTGTCGTATGTCGTCGGCGACTGGCACCTTGATTGTCTTTACAAAGCTTGTTAGCGGCCAGTGCAAACGATATCCATCTTGGTGTGACTTACCCTCAAACCTCCGACGGCTTCAATAGACGGAATGTGCTCTAAATTGAAAGTCGAGTCCTCGCGTTTGATGCGAGCGCTGGAGCCTCGATGCTCCCTCGCTTGCGTGCCCGCCCAGGTTTCCTTGAGGTAGGCCAGGTCACCCCATCGTATTTCCTTGCCTACGGCGACGAAGACCTCTGTGCCGCGTCGCGCAATCGTCCGCCTCGGTCCCTGGGCCGCGTTCTTCTTGCTAGCGTACGGCGACGCGAGAGCCTGCGCGCGGGCGACTTCCGGAGAAGGTTCAAAGAGCTGGTGCCCGGGAGCATTTTTCGACAGCCAGGCCGCCGAATAACACTTGACCTTGGGCATCCTCGCCGGGGTCTCGCAAAAGCACAGCAAAAAGATTAGCTATGTCAGAAACAAAAACTGCAAAGCAGAATGATGAGGCCAGCTTCCGAGTCTGCGTTTCCCCGAGCAAGCGTGAGTGGTGGTGCTGTTTATGCAAAGCGCAAGTGTGTAGAAAGCAGCTTTTAGGTGGAAAGGCTGGGGCCGTGGCTACGCTGGCAAAAAGTGATGGGTTCCCAAGGCGGCGGTTTGCAAACGCCACAGAGCGTGACAAAATAGAGGTCGTTTAGCAATCAATATGAAGGACCAATGGATCCCAAAAAAATATTAGACACGGAAAAACACATGTAAATTTTAGTCGTGTTTCTTCCATATTTTCATTGTTCTTCGAGCTCAAGTTAGAGTAACTTTTATTCGGAGCTGTGTTTGCACTCCTCTGCGCGTTGGGCGGCAGGTCTCCACTCAATGCCAGAGCTTCAAGTCTCTTGGCCGCTTGGGTATTTCGTTCTGCCATCACTTTGCGACAAAAGATCTCGTGCGACACTCTACCAAACGCAATCTGCGTAGCAAGGCCCAACCCATGGAATAGACCCTTAATCTCACCCTGCACAACTTTGAAGCGAATTGGAATATACGAAACTCGACATGGCTCCCCCACCAGTGCGCTCGACGGTTGACAGACTCGATCGACCCAGCGCATACTATCTCAACAAGGTACGGCTCTGCAAGCCATGGCGTACCCAAAGAGACAACAATTCTAACATCTCAGCAGAACCGTCGCAGACGCGATGACGATAGACAAGACGAAGGCGAGCCGCAACCCGATCCTCTCGCCGACGCCACAACGCTCTACGTCGGCAACCTGTACGCAAGCCCTCAGCGTTCCCCCAAGCCCTATTCCCAAGAAACCGCTAATCCTCCATCCCCGGCAGATCCTTCTACACAACCGAGGAGCAGGTGTACGAGCTCTTCACCAAGTGCGGCGAGATCAAGCGGCTGATCATGGGCCTGGACCGGTTCAGTAAGACGCCGTGCGGCTTCTGCTTCGTCGAGTACTACACACACCAGGACGCGCTCGACTGCCTCAAGTACGTCGGCGGCACCAAGCTCGACGAGCGCGTCATCCGCACCGACCTCGACCCGGGCTTCGAGGAGGGCCGCCAGTACGGCCGCGGCAAGTCGGGCGGCCAGGTGCGCGACGAGTACCGCGAGGACTTTGACGAGGGACGCGGCGGCGTCGGCAGGGCCCTGCAGGCTGGCGACGACCGGGCCTACGACGAGGATAAGTAAATAAATGGGGCTAAATGCAATGGAAAATTCAGCGTGTCGGCGTGTATCAATATTAGTTAGCTGCGGAAACAGGCCCAATACGTGGAAGTTTATCAAAAATCAAATTATGCGCCTCGCTTTATCTAATTTGTACCATGCAGATGCCAATCATACAGCCACCGTCTGGCATTTTACATGACCCCGCGATTCGCCCGTGTCCATAGTTCAGAACATGGATAGTGGTAGGTAAATGAGTTTTTGTTATTATACAAGATGTGCCGGCTGGTCGAGTTCGTTTCTCTTCCGTCACATGGTCAATCCGCATCGGTCGTATGCCGCCGCAACCGTCCAGTTTAATAACCCGGTGGGTTGATTCTTTGCGAAACCCTCGTCCACTTTGGAACCTCTGTATCAACATAGTCAGTCTCCAAAACCTCTGCTCCAATGCCCGCGTGACTCTTGACATACTGTGAATACCCTTGCGGAACTTCTTCGCCTTGCGGTCAAAGATGGTGTACTTGTCCTTGGGAAGCATCTCCTCCTCCTTGGGCATGTCGGCCTTCCAGCGCTCGAGCGCCTCGAGCGTCTGCCCCTGCTTGGCGAGCGCCGCGTCGAGCGTGGCCACGACACTGTCGACGGCGCGGAGGCGCAGGCGGTGGCGGCGCTTCTGGAACTTGGACAGGCGCCAGGGAATTTTCCACAGCAAGCCGCCCGATAGCGGGTTCGTGATTCGAAAGGGTCCAAACATTTGTGCTGTGTGTGTGCGGTTTTGTTGGAGGTTGCTAAATACCGTCCGTTTTTTCAAACGCTGTCGGTTTTCTCCTGGCAGACAGAGAGGTAGGCGCAAAAAGTGGAGCGAGACTGGCTGGCTGCAGTGGTACCGAAAGTGCCTGGTGAGGCCACAGGACAGCCCACCTTGGAAGCTCCAAACTGCGCGCGACAAGCGGGAAACGACAGCTTTCGCTTGAACTTGCAGGCATTCGCAGACGCAAATGAGGACGGCGACACAATGAGCTACTATTTTGCCATTGTGGGCACCCAGGACAACCCGCTGTTCGAGTACGAGTTCGGGACGTCCAAACAAGGCGGCGACGGACAGTCGCGCTTCACCGACCAGGTGCGGCACCTGAACCAGATCATCCTGCACTCAAGTCTAGATGTCGTCGAGGAAGTGCAGTGGTCACAAGGGCAGATGTGAGTCCCCCAGCCGATCTTCTGCAGCCAGGCAGACCACCGCCTCTGCGCAAGTGTCCGGCAGCGCAACCAACTCGTACCTTGCTCACCAGGCACCATCGAGAACTCCATGCTGACTCGGCTGGCCACTCCTCCAGGTATCTCAAGTGCATCGACAAGTTCTTCAACAACTACATATCCTGCTTCGTCACCGGCGCTGGCGCCAAGTTCCTGCTGCTGCACCAGCCGCCGCCGCCCAACCCCGCGGGCTCCTCGCGCTCCTCGACGGCCATTGGCGCCAACCCAACGAGCCCCGCGACCGAGGAGGCCATTAAGATGTTCTTCACCGAGGTCTACGACAATTGGGTCAAGGCCATCATGAACCCATTCTACAAGCAAAACATGGAGGTCCGCAGCCCCGTCTTCCGGGCGCGAGTGGCAGCGGCTGGACGGAAATACCTTTGATACATTTGATACAGGCTTCGAGTGCGGGAGCAGCGAGACGAGAGTTATTTACGAACGGCGCAACGGGCGATTTCTAGTGCCTTCTCTTGAGGCTTTGTTATACTGTTCATGTTGGGATCTTTCACAATAAAAGTGGGGTTTCTTCACATTTCAAGTTGGATGCAGTGGTATTGGTATCGTAGTTTCATTGAACGAGTCATCTCCTGTGACCGAATGTTTATCATGATCCATTCTCCAACGCCAAAAAATAATCAACCAAAAAGTACAACAATAATCCTTTAGGTCAGCAAATCCATGTTGACCAGGCTCTTCCCGATAAGACGTGAAAGCAACGCGATGAAAAACAGGCGACAACTGTGTAACGGATGTTGTCGACGTTTAACCACCGAAACCGTACAGGGTGCGGCCCTGGCGCTTGAGAGCGTAGACGACGTCGAGGGACGTCACGGTCTTGCGCTTGGCGTGCTCAGTGTAGGTGACGGCATCGCGAATGACACCCTCGAGGAAGGTCTTGAGCACGTTGCGCGTCTCTTCGTAAATCATGGCCGAGATACGCTTGACACCACCACGACGCGCCAGACGACGGATGGCAGGCTTGGTAATGCCCTGAATGTTGTCACGGAGAATCTTGCGGTGACGCTTGGCGCCGCCCTTGCCGAGACCCTTGCCGCCCTTGCCACCTGTAAACGAATATTTGTTAGTTTTTTTTTCCAAGGTAGGAGGAATGAGGTGCTGGTTGATGATGCACTATGGGAGGGGAGACGCGTTGAGTGGCGGCCATGCACAGCAGTCCACGCGTCATTTAACAGACGACAGCCCAAATGCGGTGCGACACGCGAGCCGCGCGCCATCATCGGAAGCAGGAAAATAAAAGAATCATCACTTACGTCCAGTCATGTTGATGGATTAAAGGTTGTAAAAGTGGTGTAAAAGTGGTTAAATTTGATGTTGTTGATGTAAAGAGTACGCGTTGCGGCAAGTGTTGAGAAAGCAGGCGGGAGGATGTGGTGTGAAGGAAGAAAGATCAAGATGCGGGGGGTGTGGGAAGGCGGCTTGGGTTCCTAAATAACCGTGCGCAATCAGCCAGCACAAGCGGCGCAGCAGCATCAGTGCTCCTATTTTTTAATAAAGCAGCATAATAATAATAAAAAAACGTGCCGGGACAAATAACACGTTAAAAACAGTGGGGCAAAATACAAGCCAAAACAGTCGCATCACCAAGCTAGTCCTATTCTGGGATGGGCGTGTCACAACTCTTGTACCTAATTATTACTGATCACAAGTACAAGGTTGCCAAATAATGCCAATGTTGTAAAATCTTTAAGTTATTTGACGTCATGTCATCAAAGAGTCATCCATAGGCATATCATCTTCAAAACGTTCGATTGCTTCCTTGATCATCGGACCGGCCTGCTCAACGGGTCAGTCGACAAGCTCAATAACTGCATCGTCGCGGCACTTTACCTTGGGGTCCAACGCCAACGCAATGGTAAAGTGGCGGACCGCCAATTGCCGCTCATTCATGCTCCTATACAATGTTCCGAGCAGAAAGTGGACATGTCCCTCATTTGGCGCGAGGTCTTTGAGAATGACCAATTCCTTCTCGGCATCTTCGATCTGTCCAATCGCCAAAAGCGCATGAGCCTTTTTGTATCTCGTCAAAGCTGCCCTGGGAGCAAGCTCAACGGCTTTGGTGTACGCCCTGAGGGCAGGTATAATCTGTTTTTGCCTTTCCAATACGGTTCCGATCCAAGAAACGAGCACCGCATTGTTGGGGTTGATGGACTGGGCCGCTTGGAAGTGCGTCAGCGCCTTGTCATAATCACCAAGACGCTCCTGCACTCGACCAATGCCATAATATGCGTTGTAGTGGCGTTTATCGGCAGAAATAGCTTGTCGATAGGCAGTCAATGCCTGCTCGTATTCTTCGTTCGTGACATGCTCGTGTCCTTGTAGTGTGAATGCGTAGGCAAACTTTGGGTCCAGCTGCGTGGCTCGCTTGAAGCATTTTAGAGCTTGCTCAGGATCCTTGGCCAACGACCAAGCATTTCCCAGAGCGCACCAAGCTTGCGGAGAGTGCCACGCCGAATCAACAAGCTCATGCGCCAGGAATGACAAGTCTGTCTCTCTCTTGAGATGCCACAGAATAGTCGAATACACCTCCATGTCCTGAAGTCTCGATGGCGCCTGTACGCGCATACGTCTGAAAAACTTTTCAGCCTCCGCATACGAGGCTTGCTCGTAGTGCGCGCGGCCCATTTGAACAAGCACCCACGGCGTTCCCTGATGCGCGGGCGGCAAAGAGCTCAGCGCTTGTAATGCTTCTTGGCACTGGAATCTTGACAGGAAGTAGTAACCATTGCCCAATTTCTTCAGCACGTCCATTATCCATCTGACAGCTTCTTCGATTTTCACTGCCTCGTCCGCCTGTTTAGGCGGTATGGGGGGTTGTGTCGCGGTTTGTATCGAGGCCGCGGGCTCGCGCACACGTGATGCCTCGCCGTGATCAACATCAGCGTGATCATCAATCGGCTTTCGATTACCGCTAACCACACGACCAACATTGGCACCACTAGAGCCAGGTCGTACTATTCGAGAAATGGGGGGCCTAGCCTTCTTCAGTTCACGACCTGCGGAAGCTCCGATGGTGGCAGCGCCAGAGTTAGCCCTCGAGGACGGCTTAAACGTAGTAAGTCGTGCGCTTCTTCTCGTGCCCGTGTCGTCAATGTTCGCAGCGCGTGAAACGGGATGGCCGGACAGCGTTCGTTTTCTATCCGCCGTCGACAGAGCCGCCGCTCGCGTGATGCCAACAGCCGCAACCGGACCGTCCATTATGGGCTCTACAGCCTGCTGCATATCTCGGTCTTCTGATCGTGTACTTCGTTTAGTGCCCAGTCGATAGTTCATGCGTGGTGGAGCCTCTAGGCCAGCATCTATCACTTGAGCCTGGCGCGCTCGTCGAGGTGGCGCTTGGGGAGGATCATGTCCGCCAACCATTCTAGAGACGTCTGCAGACGGCCCGGGTGGTGTTTCTGTTGCGTCAAAGAGTGACAAGTTACTACTTGAAGTCCCAAGGCGCAATCGCGCGCTCTGGATTTTTGTCATCAAATCGCCATCTGCAGATTCTGAGAATACATCGGCAAGAGGACTCGTAGCTTCGGACAAGGAGAAGCCGACGTTGAATGGGTCAGACCCCAGGTCTGATGCGAGACTCCGTAATGACGACTTTTTCGGAGCCATTTCAAGTGTGTTGGAGTTGGCCAGAGAAGCGGGCGTTCGTGCAGTCGCGACCGCTTCGGGGTCGAAGCTACGAGCAAGCAAGTCGGAAGATCGGAAAATGTTGGGGACACGCACATTGACGCCCATGTCGCAGAGCGCTGTGAACGCATCCCACTGGAAAGGGTTCAGCTTGAGGGCTTCCTCAAAGGCGCCAGCTGCTTTCTTCTTGTCGTCATAGCCGCGATATAGCTTGCCAAGCAAACACAGCACGGCTGCAGCGTCGGGGCAGCCGCCTGCGCGCAACAAGGCGCCGTTCTTTCCCAAGCTGCCTTTAGAGGACCACAGAATCCTTGATTTCTCAAGAGCCGTGATGCCGTCCTTGAATCGCTCCAATGATAGGCATGCCTGCGCAAATACCCAGGCGCATCCCAAATTCGTCCCACGGTATCCCATTGGTTTCCCGACATCGTAGGCGGAGCGGTAGTCTCCTAGCCGCAAGTGACAGAGAGCATAGAGGTGGGTCGCCTCGCTGGAGCGCGGGTCTTGAGCTACAAATCGTTCCGCAAAGAAGAGCGCGTTGTCGTATGAGGAGTTGTCGAGATGATGCTGTATCACCTGGCGTAACAGGCCAGAGACAGCCGTCAGACTTGGCGCCATTTCAGAGGTAGCTTGTCTGAAGAGGAGCGCAAATCACCTCGGATTTGATGCAAATGGAGGATTACCGTCGTGCCTGGGCCATGGAGGGAAGTTATAAGGCGCGATGAGGCGGACTTGTTGGACTTTCGACAACGGCAGCAAAAGCGATGGCACTGAAGCGCGTGCTCGAAGGAGATCGATTTCGGCCAGAGCTAATGATAATTCGGTTGCTCGCTCGGACGGCGTTAAGAGTATCGAATGGCGCACCGCAGACCAGATGCTAAAGCGCTGTGTTGTTGACTTGGTATAACGGGTGCGGGGCGCTAAAGGGCAACAAAATAACACGGCCGGGACGACAGGGCCGACAGACGAAGCGCCAAGACGGGTAGTGCCAAGGTCGGAAAGATTGAATTGACAAGAGACTATTGGTATCGAAAAAAAGGAAGTCGGGTCGTAGTCGAACGGCGTTGCGAGGAAAGGGCGAGTGCAAAGGCACGTCTCGGGCTCGTACACGCACGCGAACAGGTGAGCAAACGCAAGAGGGCCGGGCGGGCGGCGAAGAAGGCTGCTTCGGGACAATGGCAGTGTTATTTGGGCTTGCGCATCATGGCACCGAGACGTTTAGGGGAGGACAGAGGCAGCAAAGATTGCTATTTCTGGCGGCGTGAAGAGAACAGGTAGCGAGCGGGAGGGAGAGAGTCAGAGAGAGAGCATCAGGGAAGGATAGGCTGGCGGCTGCGCGCCCGATGTTTTGTGAGGTTCGGGAGCTTGATTGGCCAGAGGACGGGTGGGCTAGCTGTTGCGCCGCCCAGCAACAGCCACGGCTACAGTGGGTCGGTAGTCAATCTGAGCAAGTCACCACACAGTCGCCTTACATTTCTGCTCAGAGGTACATCTGCAGGGGAGTTTAGGAGCGTTACAACGGGGGCGGGCGTAGGGAGGGCACTTCCACACTTGCAGGTCACTTATTAAGGGAAGTACATCATTTGCAAAGCTCTCTATTGGGTTCTTGGTTTATTATATATTACGATTGCTATCTTGCAAGAGAGTATTATCTTTCATCAATGTTGTACATCAACGTTGTACATCAACATTGTACCTTAATTGAACCCAGTGAGAACACAGACTGTTTTCTGTGCAAGAAGAGCAAAGTCAAGCGGTGATTATTTTAGCCACCTTGCTCTCGCGCCCCACCACCTCCATCCCACACAACTTCATCGTCGATGCTTGCAGCAACCTCATCTCGTCCCTCCGAGCCACACTCTACACTCCAAATTGCCGCAACCAACCGACTCGACTTCTGCTGAACTACTCCCAACGCCATTCGCACAGCGACCTTTCGTTACCAGCTGCAGTACACCAACCGAGAACCCAACGCCGTCCACACCCGGTAGCTTCCCGCCTACCTAGGGAGCTTCCCACACAACAGTCGACACCATGGCGCAAAAGGCCAAAAAAGACCGCGCCAAGGCCAACACGGCCGCCCTCGCCAACCTGCACATGGGCTCCGCCCTCGTGCACCTCGTCTTCCTCGCCTCGCACTTCCTCTGGCGCCCGCGCTCCCTCGTGCTCTACGGGGTGCTGTCGGCGCCGGCCCTCGCGTGCGAGCTCGTCCTCGAGCGCACCGGCCGCCCGCGCTACGACGCCGCCACGCGCG